TGGAGATAATACATTGGAGATGTATTGGAGATATATTACAATCAATGAGATCGCCATGAATTTTTAATTTAACATTCTAAATCGTCATGAATTATTTCAAATTTTTTTGCTCCTTTAAAAGTTATTAATTTTTGAATTTTGCGATTTTAACATAGGATCTTATGTACACGTTCAAGAGATAGGTAATAAATTATTCACAAACTATAAAAAAACAATGATAAAAATTTCATTTTGTAATGAAAGAGAAAGAATAGAGAATATTATGAAATTCTATTAGTAGAGAGCAAAGCTAACTTATTTCTTCGTGTATAAAGTGGGGATAATAATCTCAGAAAGCATATATGATCATAATATAAATATGTATGATAGATTTCTTATAGACTAAAATTATATGATAATATAATTTACTAAAATAATATAACTAAAATAATATATTAAAATAATATAACAGAAACTCATAATTTTATAAATTTTAAATTTTCACATTTAATATAATATAAAAATAATAAAATTACAAAATATAGAAATCTAAAACAAAACAATCTAAGACATTTGGATTTTATAATGTTTTTAGTAAGATTTTTTCTTCTATACAAGAAAGCAAGTATTTATATGTATAATTTATATTTATATTTATTAAATGTTAAGAATTATTAAGAATGTATTGGAGATATCTTACAATCAATAAGATCGCCGTGAATTTTTAATTTAACATTCTTAATAACATTCTAAATCATCATGAATTATTTCAAATTTTTTTACTTGCTCCTTTAAAAGTTATTAATTTTTGAATTGATTTTAACATAGGATCTTATGTAAACGTTCAAGAGACAGGTAATAAATTATTCACAAACTATAAAAAAACAATGATAAAAATTTCATTTTGTAATATTATATTTTTCATACATGTAAAAATGTTCCCACAAAGTTTTAAAACGATTTACTTGCTCGTTTTGAAATTATTATTAAAAAATAACTGTGATTATCGGTTTGACGCAATATTGATGATAACGTGGCAACAATTTTCTTGGAAATTAAGACCTATTTATATTAAAGAATACTTTAAAATATGATTTCGTGATTTTTAAAAAATGTTTGATCAATTAGAATTCGTATTTTGCCCAACTTTAATTTTTTGATACTTTGGATTAACTTTTGAGACAGGTCCGTCCAATATATCCTTAAATAAGCAACATGATAGAATTACTATGGGTGCGGAATCCTGCATTTGACCTAAATTTGCGAAGGTTCAAAAATCTATAGGGATCTTTTTAATGAAACATTTTTATTTTTAAAAAAATAAAATTTTTAAAATATTAAAAAAAAATTTAAAATATTTGTTAATACCTCAGGGTAAACAACGATAAATCAGAGAGCTGTGGATTGCTCCATAGAACGCTAATGTCCCATTGGGAATAATGAAAGGTTGCTCTTGCTTGTCAGATGCGTTTGTATTGACAGAGAGGAAATGTATTCACCACCAATTGTGTTGGTCGTGAAAAGTCATTGACACAAACGCAAATCTCTCTCTTCATACTATTGTAACACTGAAAAATTCTGTATATGAACAATACAACTATATTATAATCCATAATTCTTTTTTGAATAGAGTAATCAATTTTTTGGAGAAAAGAGAAATGTAATTTTTTAGATTAGACTTAGGGATAATAATGAAAGGAATAATATATTACTTTTTTAAATATTTAAGCTTATTTTTAATAGTATTCACGTGTTTTCAAAAGTAATAAAGAATCATATCAGATCTTATATCGATCACTACTCTTAAGAGTAGATTAAAAGTCCATCCCTTCTTATCAGATTATAGTTGAGATCAGGTGATAATTGACGTATCAAGATGTCGGAATTTCAATATTTTCAATATTATCGCTATAATAATAAGAAAATAATAAGAAGATATATTATATCGACATCGATATTTATATTTTATATTGAAAATAATTCAGAAAATTCAATGACTTTAATTAAATATAACATTCGCAATTAATATAATCGTGTACTGAATAACATTAAATACACAAGATTATTATTATTCGATGATATCGCTGACGGGACGTACGATATATACGTCACTTCTTATCGTTCATCGGACTACACAGATAAAATTACATACGATCAATTTTTTTAGTATAAATTCAACGAACTTATAACGAGATAAGTCTGTCTTGCTTTTAAATTGATTAATTTTTCGTCTATATAATATGAAAAATATATCAATAGCAAGAATAAAAGATCCCTCTATATCTGTATGGTTTACAGATTGTTCTCTAGTAAAAGAAACAAATATTAGAGAGAAAAGTAAATAAAATATAAATACAAATAAATATATATAATATATAGCTAATAAGAAAAATGAGAGGAAATTTTAAATGAATTGTGGAATGGTGGAAAGATAACGAAAGAATGGAAGGAAGGTATAATAACACCGATATATAAAAAAGGAGACAAGAAAAAAGCGGAAAATTATAGAGGAATAACGTTGATGGACACGGGTTATAAAATTTATACAGAAATAAGAAGAAAGTTAAGTAAAAATTTAAACGAGAAAAAAGGTCTAAGTGAGACCCAATTAGGATTTAGGAAGGAAAGAGGCACAATTGATGCGGTATATATCCTAAAGAATGCGATAAATGAATCAATAAGAAGAGAAAAAGAAAAGTTATACGTGCTATTCGCAGACATGAAAAGAGCATTTGACAGATTAAAAAGGGAAGAAATTTGGAACATGCTGGAGAAAATGGGTATAGAAGAAAATATAACGGAAAGAATAAGGGACATATATACAGGAACAAAGAGCATGATAAAGATAAAGGAGAAAAGAGTAGGATCAATAGAACTGAAGAAAGGTGTTAGACAAGGATGCCCGACCTTGTTCAATGTGAGCCTTGCGGATTTGGAAGAAGAGATGAAAAAAGTACAGGAAGGAGGTGTAGTCTTAGGGAGAAAGAAAATTTACTCACTGTCATATGCAGATGATGTTACACTAATGTCCACTACACCAGAAGGGCTAAAAGAGATGATAGAGAGATTGGGAAAGTATTTATATTTGGAAAAAAAGGCTTGGAATTGAATATGGAAAAGTCAAAGATAATGGTGTTCAGAAAAGGACAAGGAAGGAGAACCAAATTAGAATTCAAATGGAAGGAGAAAATAATAGAAGAAGTGAAAGAATTTACATATCTGAGATACATAATGAAATGCAACAACAGTGATGAAGGACAAATTAAGAAGCTAGAAGGTAAAGCTAAAAGCGTAAGAAGAATTTGGAACATAGGAGAGAGGAAATTTAAAGAAGATTGGGATAAAAGGATGAGATTATTCGATGCACTAATAGAGTCAGTAATGATGTATGGAGCCGAAATTTGGGGGTGGAAAGAAAGGAAAGAACTTGAAAGAATACAAAGGAAATATATTAAATGGGTGCTAAAGCTTGACAAGAACACACCGGATTACATAGTGATGAAAGAAACAAACAGGGATGATTTAATAATTAAGACAGGAAAAAGAGCACTAAAATATGAAGAAAAGTTGGAAAAACAAGAAAGAGACACGATCCTGGGAGAATGCTGGAAAATACAAGAGAGAAGAAGAGAAGAAAAAAGCCAAGAAGACAAGAGAGAATTCTTGAGGAAAAGAGGATGGTCAGTAGAAAAGTATTAGGAAGATAGGAAAGAGTCAGTATGGCAAAGATTGGAGGAGAAAGGCAGGGAAGTACAGACAAACTATAGAGAAGAAAGGATAAAGGATACAAGGTACATCAAGAGATCAAGGAGGTATTCTTGGAAAAACAAGGAAGGAGATACATGGAGAGAAACCAAAAAGGATAAGAAAGGATGAGTTAGGTTTAAGTACGGTGGCTAGGTTTAGCACAGGAAATGAAAGCAAAATGCATGTTCTGGCTAAAAGAAGAGGAAAGGTTGTGCAGATTATGCGGCAAAGAAGAGGAAAGCTACGAGCATGTATTTGAAAACTGTGGAAAGGTTAAAAATAAAAATGGGAAGTGGAGAGAGATACTAGAGGGAGAAAAAAGAAGTCTAGGCAGAATGAAGGAAGTATTGTGGAAACGGAGGGAAGAGAAGAAAAAAAGGAAATAATAAGTGGAAAATAAAAAGAAGAGAAAAAAGAAATTCAGAAAATTCAATAAGTACGTGGAGAGGGAAGAGTGCAGGGAAGAGAGAGAGCAGGAGGATGCCAGAAGGGAGGAGATAAGACAGGTTTTAGATAGGTATACAAAGACTGATTAAATGTATTAGAATAGATAGGAGAATTAAATATTTAGAGATAGAAGAAGAAGGAAGAAAGAGATGAAATAAATTATAAATGAAAAAAAAAACACTAATACACACTCAAATAAAATTAACAAATCTTGACAAATTGAACATATCTTGACAAGTTGACATAAATTGTATAAAATTAGTCAATAAATATACTACTACTACTATATAATATATATAAAAATAAAATATAAATAAATATAATAGGAAAAGAAAATAATATTTTATATATATATATATATATATATATATATATAATATTATTTTCTTTTCTTATTATATTTATTTATATTTTATTTTGATATATATTATATATTTATTTTTATTATATTTTATTTACTTTTCTAATATTTATTTCTTTTATATATATATATATATATATATATATATATGAGATTTTCTAATATTTATTTCTATATATATATATGAGAAATTCGAATCAAAATAATTTTTCTCTTTTAGAATTTTTTTTATTATAAAAATGAAATTTATAAACATCTTATCTTTGTATATATTTTGATATATGTATAGTACTGTATAGTATAGTTATATAATTTATCATTATATATATCGTGAATTATCTATTATATTATTATGTAGATAATAAATGATTTACATAATAAATTATTTTATTAAAAATTTAAAAAAATTTAATTCTATTAAATTTATTTGATTAAAAATGAAGATTTAATATTTATAAATTTTCAGTATGTTATGCATCCAGGAAGAGCTGGCTCAACTGAGTGAAATCCCGGCAAGTCCTGAGCGACTAATCACCGAACTACGAGAGGTTCAATTACCCCAAAGCAACCCAAACTCGGGGAATTCTAGCGATGTAGCGACGAAATGCGCTCCTGGAATGGAAAGCATCGATTCTCAACGATCGAATTGGGTCGAAGGCATATTGGGATGCATGCGCCCCGTTTGGTCCATGTTGTCAAAGGCAGCTATTAATGAAAAAATTAAAAATCTTGCAAGTAAGTCTCCTTACAGTTATCTTATTTATCTATCAATTTTTCTCTTCAATTTTTCTTAAATTAAAGTTGAAATCTTTTACAAAATTTATATTATATAAAATTTATATACATATATCTGATATAAAATTTTATATTTTATATGCAATAGAAGTGCCAGTCAAAAATATATTATTATAATATATTTTACAGTTATTTCAAAAGATGCTTAATAAAAATAGATTAAATCTATAATCTTCGTAATAAGTTTTTCATATTTAAAATAGAATTTAGCTTTGATATAATAATAGAGCTGCATAATTCACTTTTGCTTTGAAATTGTTATATGTTACATTTTTGTACAATGATTAACATGGATTGCATTTTAGCGGATGATTGGGAGATACCTTTTGGAGATATCAGCGAGATGAAGTGGGTAGCATCCGGGGCTCAAGGTGCAGTATTTAAAGGGAAATTAAATAGAGAGATTGTAGCTGTAAAAAAAGTGAAGGAACCGAAAGAGACTGATATACGCCATTTAAAAAAGCTCAATCATCCAAATATTGTACAATTCAAGTAAGGTCTATTATTTTCTATTACATAATATTATATAATATTTAGCACAAGTTATATTATTAAAAAACACAACACTTATTGTTTAATGCTTACAGAGGAGTTTGCACAAAACCTCCTTCCTATTGCATAATAATGGAGTTTTGTCCATATGGGCCATTGTATGACTTTCTGAGAGCTGGAGAACCGGTTCCTCCTGTTCGATTGGTGTCATGGTCAAAACAAATTGCTGCAGGGATGGGATATCTTCATGCTCATAAAATCATACATAGAGATCTCAAGAGCCCAAAGTAAGTAAATAACGAAATGAATAAAATGGGAACATCTGTTCAAATTTATAAGAAATATTTAAACTATTTTATTTTATTGATATTTTTCGCTTGATAAATAATATAAAATAACCATTAATTACTTTAACAAACTTGAGACATATCAATTTATTATAAATTAATTTTTATTAATTCTTCAATCACAATTTCAAATAGACATGAATGTAATTTTAAGATTACAAAGACGTTTAATGTTAAGAATCAAAAATTGTTAAGAAATATTGATTTTTCTCGACTCTGTTATTAAGTTAATTAAAAAAATGGACAATATATAAAATTAAGTGTAGATAAGATGCATCTAAAATCTGTCTATCAGCGTCCTAATAGGAGAAGACGAAGTAGTGAAGATCAGTGACTTCGGCACGAGTAGACAATGGAATGAAGTTAGCACAAAAATGACTTTCGCCGGTACTGTGGCATGGATGGCACCGGAAGTAATCAGAAACGACCCGTGTTCGGAGAAAGTGGACATATGGTCATACGGCGTTGTACTGTGGGAATTGCTGAGTGGTGAGATACCTTACAAGGACGTGGATTCCTCCGCCGTTATGTGGGGAGTGGGCAGCAATTCTCTTCATTTGCCAATTCCTACCAGTTGCCCAGAGGGCTTTGCATTACTGGTCAAGCAGTGCTGGTCGACTAAACCGCGTAATAGGCCTTCCTTCAAACTTATCGAGATGCATCTTGCCATCGCGGCCATCGATGTGTTATCCTTGGAACCCGAAGATTACTTTAAGACACAAGTACATTAGCGTAGTTCTCTTTAATCTTTTTATGTTAGTGTATTTTTTTTTAAGCTCAAATGTTCTTGAATAGATGATAATACTCTACTGTCATTTAAGTTAAACAAATAAATTAGACTCTTATATCTTTTAAGAAACAAAAATAATAATTTTGTATAGATATTTTTTGGATATATTTTGTAGATAGCATTGTATAAATATATTTTGTTGAAAAATTCCTGGTTTCTTTAATTATTATTTCTAACATTTAACAATTAAATTTTACATTAAACTTTTTTAATAAAAGAGTTTTTAATAAATGATTATAAATATTCTCCTTGCGTTAACATTAATCAAAGTATATATGAGAAAGATAATAATAAACTTTTTCTCGGACTTACAGCAATCTTGGAAGAAGGAGATACAGGAACAGATGGAACATATGCCGTTGTTCACTAATACCAATCCACATTTCGAAAACGATCTAATTCTAAGGAGAAAGATTGAATTACGGCAAGCTCAAGATGTCAGGGAACACTACGAACGCAAACTTGAACGCACTAACAACTTATATCTTGAATTAAACGCTATTATGCTACAATTGGAGCTACGCGAGCGAGATGTAATAAAGTAAGAAAAATCTTATAATTGAAGTAAAAGAGATATATGCTATAGAATATATATACAGGATGTATCTTAAAAAGCTCCCACTAAGTAAATAGCGTTATTCATGATTAGAAACCAAAAAGTCCTGAATCATTTTTTTCCATAAAGCTTAATAAAGCAGTAATTAATGAGTAAAGTCGCGCCAATAAAAAAGACAAACTTCCTCGTTATCAACATATGAAGATTTGGATAAGCAAAAAAATAAACTGTTTGGTGTTAATTTTTAAACACTTCATCTTTTCAGACATCTTTTTCATACTTAAATCTGATTAATTATTTAATGAATCTTGGAAAAAAAATGGTTCAGGACTTTTCGACTCAGTTTTTAATCAGGAATAACGCTATTTACTTAGTGGGATCTTTTTAAGATACACCCTGTATAAAGTGAGCACTTATTATATATTATAAATTTTGTTAATAACAGCAAACAACGTTGTACCACTTTGCAAAATCGCGTTCTGTATTTGAAGTGGTTATTAAAACACGATCGAAAATATCAAAATAAATATCTGGTTTGTCTCAGGAGAGAACAACAATCAACGGGATACAAACAATACAAGAAACGTCTTGTTCGGCCTTTATTAAAGGCACAAGAGAGACTCTATCGCAAACGTTGTGGCACAGTGCAGTTTTCCACTTCCTCAACGCCTACTACTCCGCCATCGCCCACGGATTCGCCACAAAGCCCCGTTAAAGCCATCATGTATACACAATTGAACGAATCCAATCAACCAGAAACTGTTTTGGCATCGAGCAATAGTTTCAAACAGCGTAAATACAGGCATCGTAGAGTTGGTTCGGGTTGTGGCGTGAGTTCCAGTCCTAGATCGAGTCCTCATCGTGAAAGAAAAGTGAGAATTTAACTGATAATAAATTAATAATTTTATTTGTAATAATTTTATAATAATTTTATGATAAATAATAAGCCGATGAAACTTATTAAGAATAATTTTGCTTGTTAAAATCTCTCAGTTTCTTATACTTTCAAAAAATATACATAGAATTTGTAGTTCTTTAAATGAGTTTAAAATAAATTGCAAGTATGTATTATACAGGGTGGCCCCGAACGTTCCAGCCAGACTTTGAGATCTTATAGGAAATTGAGATCTTATAGAAATTTAATTCTGAACAAAAAATTTCCTATAAACATGGGTCGAAAAATGCTTCCTTAAGAAGTTATCGCTCAAAAACCTCTGATGAAGGAAGAGCAAAAGATGAAAAGAAAATAAAATAAAAAGAAAATGAAACTAAATAAATTTCTTGAAAAAAACGATAAAAATAAAAAATAAAAATCTTTTTCTTTTATGAAAATAAAATAAAAGTTAGTTAAGAAAAAAAAATTATTTTATTTTCATAAAAGAAAAAGATTTTTATTTTTTATTTTTATCGTTTTTTTCAAGAAATTTATTTAGTTTTATTTTCTTTTTATTTTATTTTCTTTTCACCTTTTGCTCTTCCTTCATCAGAGGTTTTTGAGCGATAACTTCTTAAGGAAGCATTTTTCGACCCATGTTTATACGAAATTTTTTGTTCAGAATTAAATTTCCTATAAGATCTCAAAGTCTGACTGGAACGTTTGGGGCCATCCTGTATATTAATATTACAATATGACATGTTTTCTATTTGTAGAGTATAGAGGCATCTGTAAGATACATTGACAGTCACACACAAACAGATATCATGGATATCAGTGAAATGGATCATACTTCGTTGGCGAATATAGCGTCTTCCTCGCCAGAAAAGGCCTCTTTGGAAGCTGCTAGAAAACACTCGTTGAATAAACAAGCAACGGAATGTGTAAACGGGAATCCGATTTTGCCAGAAACGCATTATCCGATGCTAATTAGCTCATGCTCAAGTCCTGAACCTTCGAATGAAAATAACGCCAATGGAAATGAGCGTTTGAAAGATTGCAGCGATGATGATAATCTAGAGACTCTCGGTAGAAAAGTTAGCGAGATTATTATTGCGAATCGTCTTATTATTGACAATGGAAACGGCGATGACGTTATAATCTCCCATAGGTATTGTATAATAATATTAAAATGATGATTTATTTTTAATAATTTTTATACATTATATATTTATTTTTATATATTTTTTTATGTACGTTAACAAAAATATATTATCATTATTCATTTTATTAATAAATATATTCTTTCTTAAATTGTATATCATTTAAATCAATTTCGATGTAAATATAATTTGAATCAATTTTTACAAGAAGAAATAAAGAAGATTCGGGCAAACTATCTGGACATTATGCGGAGCAATCTGACATTAAACTACGAATTTCTTCAGACAATACAGATGATCGTGAAGATGATGGTTGTGAAGAAAGCTGGTCAGATGAAGAAGGAGAGGATCCAAGTTATACTTACAATTATTCTTTGAGACGAAGAAGGTATGCATTTTAATAATAATTAAATGACGAGTATAATATTTCTATAATTCTACAATTATCCATCTCGAAAGATTTAATATAAAAGTTTAAAATTTATTTTTTTCTTAATTTAAAAAATTATCTCATAAACTAGGAAAAAATTAATTTTAAACAAAATTTTATGAGATATTGGTTCTTATAAGTTTTTAAATAACTCTTGTGCAGAATTCTTTAGTTAGAAATATTGTATATATACATATATATATAATACATATATTATAAAAAATTCTTAATAAAATTGCTTATCTCTTAAAAATTATTAACACCTGAATCTTCAATACTTATTGAAATTATTGTAAATATTCTATTGAACAGTATTGCAAGGAAGCCAATTGGTCCTGGCTGCAGATTACGAAGATCTAAGCCAACAATACCTGGGAGAATACAGGGGGCATTAGCTTCCGATGAGGAAAATACTTCTGAATATTCACATCCTCCGTCCAGTCAGACCTCCACCTTAGAGAGTAATCCAGATGTTCAAAGGGTCCTTCGCAATATACAACATTCCCAAAAAGTAAATAAATTAAATCTTTAAAAGTATAAATTTAAATGAATTAAATCTTTATTTTTTTCACATACTATGAATTCCACGAATTGCAAAAAGATATATAAATTCATTAATTGTATATATTATCGTATATTATATCGCAAACAAAAATGTTACATGGTCAGATATTATTTCAAAATATACCGACCACATTTTTTTTATTATTATTTTTAACATTCAACTATTTATCTATTTCTCTCCTACAAGATACATATATAAAAAGATACATATATAAAATAATCGTATTTAAATTTAGAGAAAGGAAATAGATGACGCTTCTGACACATCGAGTCAATCAGAAACGGATGAAGTCAGTGAAGTTACAATCGCATCTCAACCCGCGAATGGAACTATGAAAATGGAGAGTCGAGTATAAGAGTATAGAGTCGAATATTGTAGCATAATTTTTATATTTGATTTATGAACGCGTTATATTGATAAGATAGAGTTATTGTCTAAATGAAATTCGATAATTCTTCGAGCATTCTTCATTCTGTAACTTATGTTAAATATTGTAGATATTTATCTATTCTATATATGTATGTATATACATATATGCAAATTATGACATACATATATAAATAAACGTTACATAGGCATACATGCATCACACGTACATCTATATATACATATATTTAAAAAATATTTGGAAAAAATAGCAAACGATTGAAAATTCGCGACTCGACATCTCACTGGAACATTCAAGTCATAGTTTTCAAACCATTCTTCATCAATGTGTATAATCAATCGCACACATGAATTAGTAAAAAAATTAAATTAATATTGCTCAAGTTTATTTGAGTATATATAAGATTTTTTTATAGCATATATACATGCCGCATGAGATCATGAATCTAGATTTATAATGTAATCTTCGTCCAACAAATCTAAATACTGCTTCGAAGGATGCTATTCACAAATGATTGTATCATTCAAAACTGTTATATGCATCGTTACAGCATTATATATGTCTCAACAATTATTCATTAGAATCATTAATGAATATCATAGACATGTATAATAAATTAATCCCTGCTATAAGAAGCGTGAAAACATGAAGGAACTTTTGCCCTTCATGTTTGCTATCTCTTACAACAACGGATGGTCTATTATATGTGATTAAGATATATATATATATAATGTCTAACATACATACTTCTGAAATCGTGTATTTATTTCTTTCATCTAATATTTTTCATCAATTAATTTAATAGTTATTTTCGAATAAAATGCGTATGTACATTATTTTTAAGTCACAAATGCAACTTTAAACTGTGCATACAAATTAGATTAGAAATAAATTTTTCTCGGATTCAGAAACAAGCTTACAACACAAAAGTTAACTACTCTCCAAATTCACTTCCGTCTATTTATATGTCAGACGAAAGGCAGCTGTGAATAAGATACAAACATAATTATGAGAGCATCTGACTAATGATATTATCTATATGCACAGTTTAAATTTCACAAAATGAAATAACATGTACAACATAAAATGAAATGAACGAATTTTATTACATAAGTGCCTACGGCAATTTGCATGCATCGATCGCGTCGAAGTGTCTAGTGAAAGTTAGAGAATTAATAATATTATATATATAATATTATATATATATATATATATTTTTTTATATAATATATTTATATATATATATTATATATAAAAAAAATATATATATAATATATAAAAAATATATATATATCTTATATATATTATATATAATATATATATATATATTTTTTTTTTATATATAATATATATATATATATATATTATATATATAAATATATATAAAAATATATATATATATATATAATATATAAATAATATTATATATATATAAATATACATTAGCATACACAATTTGAAGCATGTATTGAAAGATGTTGTTGTACCTGTACTGATCTTTTATATTTGCAATATATTACGGATACAAGAAACGTTAGACAAAAATGAATATACGAGAAAAAAAAAAAGATACAAAAATATAAAATTTGCTTTCTCGAAAGCTACTCCACTTGTAATAGAAGAGTTACTTTGTGTCATTGTACGCATCTCCTAAGATATACGTAAGAAACTTAATTTTTTTTTGTTTTTACTTCACAGCCAACAAAAGTCAAAGAATAATTAACTGTATAATGACTATGTACTTATTGATTTCAGCCTTTAAGCATTTATAAATATAGTTTACGATGCGAATTGTATTACGCAGTCAAACGTGTAGTGTCGGTTTACGCGAGTTTCAAAGTGAAGCTCAATAACACTGGACCGCACGCGGAAACCTCATACTCATTCCGCAAATATATACTGGTACTAATAATTATATCGTTAGCTGTATCTCTCTTGTATATGCACATACCCACGAATTGTTGCGTTTACTCAATTAATCGAAAAGAACGATGTTTTGCATCCATCTATTGCGTACCTGCTTTGAAACTCAGATTGCCTTAATGACAATTATATACATCTGTAAATATATAGGACAATACAACACCGAAATTTTTAGCGAATTAAGAATAAGGTAGAATAACAATTTGGATGTGCTCATTTAAACTGAGATAATTTCTAAGACATATTATTAGAGAGATGTACTTTGTAGTAATCATACATATTGTATCCACGTCTCATACATTATGCGAGTAGTTGCATAAATTGTTCCTTTTCGTGCAGTGGCAGCTAAAACTGACGGAGTTCTATTATTGTATAATAATAGAAGCAGTACACAAAATTTGTGTTATACCTAAAATAAAGTTGATTTACAAGACGTTTCATCTCTATATATTTCATTCTTTATATTAATTTGAAATATATAACATATACATAAATAAAATACATATATATATTAATGTAAATGCATAAATTTCGACAAGCAGTTGGAAGTTATTAGTTTATTAATTTTGTAAATAGCACAATTTTCACAATAGAAGCAATTTGTAAATAAACACAGTTGGTTAACATTGATAGCAGTTATTGTAAAATCGCGAGATATTAGGAATTTTTTCGTTTTATTTGTATCTAATTGCAAGAATTGTACCGTAGAATTGAATGTCATGTCATACATGTAATCTGATAATTTATATTACAAGCTTCCATAAAATGACCTCATTTATTAGAGATTTCTTTAATTAAATAATTAAATTTTTAGTATATATATTGGAGTTTTTACACGCTTATATTAATTTATTAGAATGTACCGAGAAACATTGCTCTGATTATGCAACATAACATGGCTTATATGTATATATATAATTGATTTTATTGATATTAAATCAGTTAACACAAGATGGAATATTTGTTCCATAATAATTGTTAAATATAAAAAAATAAAAAGTTAACTCTATATATATATATATATATACAGGGTGTCCCATCTAGAAGTGGCCACCCCCTTTTATCTTTTAAACTAAAAGAGATAGACCATAACTGACTCGCATTAGAGATTGACGTATGTCATATTGTCATTTAATCATGATACTCAGTCAGAAGTTGGCTATATCGCAGGGCCGAAAATGAAATGGTGGACATCATCCGCGATATTTGAAGCCGGAAAATCTCGTATAATATGTAAAATATTTACATTAAGTCATACTTCGTTATATTCGTTTCAAACAGCTATAACTTTTATTATATCAAAATATCTACATTATTATAAAAAAATTATACATATCTCTCCGTTCTTTAATATAGATAAATTTTGTAATCAACCACTATACTCACAATAAAGTTCAGTTAAAGTCATTTAATTTCATATATATTTGTTATGGTCTATATCTTTTAGTTTAAAAGGGGGTGGCCACTTCTAGGTGGGACACCCTGTATATATACGAATATACAGGGTGTCCCAGAATTCGTGGACATGGAATCCATAACGTGATTGTTTATGCCAAAAGAAGCAATTTTTTCTTACAAAATTGCATCCGAACATTACTTTTTAAAGGAAGGCAACTTTAAACTAACAAATAAATGCTTTAGATTATGCATAAATCAGGGTCGAAGCGCATATGGCATTGAACGTGTACGCTAATTTACTATTTTATTAAAGATTTTACAAAAACTATGCATAATATTTAAATATCGCTATTTTCAATACAACTTATTGAATAAGAAAACATTTTCTATTTGATATCACCAAAGCACCGACTGAAAATAAAATAAGTACATTAGATAACATGTGAGAAATTTTGATACAAAATTGTCCCAATATTCTAAAAATTTTTTTGGCCCTGAAAAGACGATTAAACATTCTCAAACATATATTCGAAATGCAAATTTTATTTGTTTATATACAGGGTCCCGAACGGGCCAGCCAGAGGCCAGCCACTTTGAGATCTTATAGGAAATTTAATTCTGAACAAAAAATTTCCGATAAACATGGGTCGAAAAATGCTTCCTTAAGAAGTTATCGCTCCAAACCCTCTGATGAAGGAAGAACAAAAGGTGAATTCTTCCTTCATCAAAGGTTTTTGAGCGATAACTTCTTAAGAAAGCATTTTTTGTTCAGAATTAAATTTCCTATAAGATCTCAAAGTCTAGCTGGAACGTTCGGGGCCTGTATATTAAAGATTGAGAAGAAGCTTCAGTGAGCAACTATCGCACCAGAAATGGTCCAACGTGCACAAGAAAATCTTATCACCAAAGCAAATATGTATAGACAAATCGAAGATCTATATTTCGAGCATATACTTTAAAACATTTAATCGCCTTTTTCAAGGTCAAAAAATTTTAGAACATTGGAACAATAATTTTAGAAATTATTCACTGTAATTTAATCTATTTTTTTACTTTCAATCGTTGCTTCGATGATATCAAATAGAAAATGTTCTCTTACTGAATGTATTGTATTGAAACTAACGATAATTATATCACGCATATTTCTTATAAAACTTTTATAAAATAGCAAAATAGCGTATATACTCAAATGCCATGTATGTGCCACTCCTGATTCATGTGTAACTTAAGCGCTTATTCCTTCGCTTAAAGTTGCTCTCATTTAAAAAATAATGTTTAGACGTAATTTCAAAGGAAAAAGTTGCTTCTTTTCGCATGAACAATCACGTTATGCATTCCATATCCGCGAATTTTGGGGCACCGTGTATATAGAGCATATTTTCTTTTTTTTTTACAAATATAGATGTAAAGACTTAGAAGTTTCTTTGTACATGTTAGTTTTCTATTAAGAATACGGGAGAAGAAAAAGACATTATTTATTATAAACTGATTAAAAACCGATTAATCTGTCTTATCACTTCTCTTTGATTATTATCAAGCTAAATGTACTGATAGGAATGAGATTCTTAAATGATTGTAATTGAATTGATGATTGTGATTAAAAATGAATTTGTCTTTCTCCTTGATTTAGATTTATATATAATTTTATATAATAATTTTATATAATTTATTTATTTAATATAAATTCATATATATTCATTATAAATATAATATAAATAATAATAATATAAATTTATATATATAAACGTTTATATATACTTAATATAAATATATATTTAATATAAAATATACATTTAATATAAAATGTACATATATAAGTATAAAATTATAAATATATATATATATATATACGATATATAAGAAGATTATATATATATATATATATATATATAATATATATATATAGATAAGATATATATATAAGATATATATAAAATATATATATAAGATCTAAATTAAGGAGAAAGATAAAATCCCTATATATTATCTCAATCTACAAATGATTTCTAACTCCCTTTTAAGAGGGCAGATAAAGCGATCGAGATATCTCAAATAAATAAAATTATAATTACACAACAATCAAATTATACATTAATTCCTATTACAATTATAAATTTTACCAATAAAATGAATTGCTTAGAAATTCGGCGGTAGATTTATATAGAGATGAAGCGCTTTGTTTTAAACCAGTGAATAATGACACAACACCTTCCCTATCATCCTCTTCTTCCTCTTCAGGTAAATAATCGGGCATTTCATCACCATCGCTATTTTCGCCCGTTTGTATCTGTAAGTTTATATATTTATATATATTTTTGAATTTATAACGTCGAATCCATCGATAAAATTTATTTAACATTGAATGTTTAGTTTGTTTTCTTAAGACATATTTTGATTATTCTACGCGTTTCTTAAGAATCTTTTTACATATCTATATTATTCTGTTTGTTTTTATTTTTTCTATAAAGTAACGTACTTTTCTCGATACTTCTTTGTTCTTTTTAAATCATATCAGAATTATTTATAGTTTAATGAATAAAAAGTATACTAAAGAGAGTAGAAAAGAGAATCTCTCTATCATAAAGAGAAAGCAAACTGCAAATCACAAGGAATTACACTAATTCTTACCAATTTTACCAGAAATTCTTGATTATATTTATTCCTTGTCACCAATCTCGCTTCCATGCTGTCTGTATTTTTGTCAATTGCTTCCGCAATCTGTTTTGCAGTGACAAAATTCAAGGTGCGCATAGTTACACGCTGATGCTCCACATCAACAACAAGCGAAACTAGACCTTCGATTCTTATTAATATCCCTTCCAACTCAGATCGAGTTTCCTAAAATAATTTATTATCAACATAGCTTAATATAATTATGACTATTTTTTGATATTTGAAGCTGAATATAATTATAACTATTCTTTTTACTTTTCATACTTTATAACAAGTTACAATTTAAAACAGCACTTACCGGTAATAATCCTTGGACATGTAAAACTATTACATGAGTCTTCAATTTTTTAGGCTCTATAACTCTTCTACAACGACTGCGCAAGTTGTATATAGGTGGTTTCATGCGTTCTATGTCATCTTTGATATGCTGTGCTCGATTGGCCAACTTTGGTTCGCTCAGGCTGTATTTGTTAATAATTGCTTCTAAGGATTCACGCACCCCAAAAGTAGACGTTATGTGTATATAATTCTCGACATTCTTGACAAATATCTCCAGAACATCTAAAGCTAAGGTCACCACATCTGTATCAGGTACCTCTAATACATACGCTATGTAGGATAAGACTGTTTTGTCCTGTAACCGATATAAATAATAACATAATTAATAAATAAAAAAATTAAAATAATAAAATTAAATTAAAAAATAACATATTTTGTATAGAAATTGAACAAAGAGCTGAACATAATTAATAAATAAAAAAATAAAAAAAATAAAAATAATAAAAATAAAAAAATAATAACTTATGTTTTGTATAGAAATTGAACAAAGAGCTGAACATAATTAATAAATAAAAAAATAAAAATAATAAAAATAAAAAAAATTAAAATAATAAAAATAATAACATATGTTTTGTGTAGAAGGATTCACCTTCAAAATTGTGTCATGGTTCGCAAAATCGTCGGCAAGTTTTTTATACGTCTGAAGAGTCTCCTGTAGCTCCTGCGGGTCCACGTCTACGAGATCCTCTCCGTCCATGGTTCAAATGTTACGTTGACATGAAATTAGGAGATTTCTCTACGACTAGATTTCCACTGCGATTTACGACTTTCACGCAATTCGTGAGAATAGCAGGCTCCTAGGACAAGTCCTCGTCGAGAACCGTGCTCATTTTCGCGAGAAAAATGACGGGACGAGGAATTGACCGTCCTCTCCAACGTAACAAGTTATTACGTAGATTCGCGTCGCGCACAGATGTAACCTGAAGAGCGAGCCCCAACTTGTACGGGATCATCGAGATCCGAATCTGTCCGATGTGAGAACGTACCGTGAGAAAGGAGCACCTCGACTATCACACATTTGGCATCTGATCAAAATCGATCGAGACACACGTTGCTCTCGGGCGAGTCGGCGGTTATCGTTCGTTTTTATCGACCATGGGAGAAGGGATGAAGCAAGCCAACGATACGTAGACTCGAAAGCGTGTTTATAAAATGATAAACAAAGCGGCTGAGGAAAGAACGTAACGTCAATATTGAAGCGCGCGCGCGCGCGCGCAGATGATGACAAGATTATTTTTCTTATCACCTTACGCGAAAAACGCGTGAGATCCCTTTCAACAATTTTCTTTGATGATAATCGACTTGAATATTGATGTCGCGCGACAGACGCGCCCTTTCAACTGATCGTTATCAGCTGTTCGCGAGAGCAACCTGTCAAACGCGGAAACGACCAATCACGTATCTCATGTGCATATACAGGGTGTTAAAAAAGTCTGGAAAAACATCTCGGTCAAATATCTCGAAAACGAAACGTTTCTGAGAAAAACGTTTCCAATCAAAGTTGTAGGGTTTTAAAAGTTCTATTCAATGATCATATCCGTTTGACCTTAAGTGGAGGAGTTAAGGCGAGGTCAAGGCCAACATGATTTTTTTTAATGGAAACCCAAATTTTTTATTGCATATTCTTGTAGCTTATCTCGAGAGCTTTCCAAAACACTATAATAAAATATTTTTTCATTGAGTACTTTTTGAGTTATAAGGCTTGAAATCATTTTTTAATTTTACATAAATCGTAAAATATCTGGTAAAATATTCATATTTCGATTATCTTACCTTAATACTTTTATATACAAAATAATGAGAGGAATCAATTGGTGTAAAGAAAACACATAGTTACTTTTAAGAAAAAATATTTAATTGTTAATTGCAAATTACATATTTTTTCTTCGAAATAACTATGTGTTTTCTTTACACTAATTGATTCCTCTCATTTTGTACATAAAAGTATTAAGGTAAGATAATTGAAAAATGAATATTTTACAAAATATTTTACGGTTTATGTAAAATTAAGAAATGATTTTAAGCCTTATAACTCGAAATTCTTAATAAAGAAATACTTTATTATAGTGTTTTGGAAAGCTCTCGAGGTAAGCTACAAGAATATGTAATGAAAAATAGGGAGTTCCATTCAAAAAATTCAAGTTGATCTTGTCCTGACCTTGGCGACGCCACTCAATGTCAAATGGATATTACAGTTAAATACATCTTTTTAATTCTTACAACTTTTATCTAAAGCATTTTGTTCTAAAATGCATTCTATACGAGATATTGGACTGTATTCAGACTTTTGGTCCACCCTGTATATCAAAAAGACGTGCTATATTTTTATATCGGACGGTTAATTGATTTTTCCGCGCGTGCATTATACAATCTAATTAAAATTTAGTCCCAAATGTAGAACAAAGAAATTTTAAATATTACTTTACGTAATAATATCAAGCGCGCGCTTCGATTTTGACGTTCAAAATGATAATAAGAATTTAATTAAGAGATTGAAACTTTGAAAAAATATGAGAAACCAAAGGATCATGTTCGATAAAAAAATTTTTAAATTAGTCAAATTTTTAAATTATTCACGTAAGAAGAGAATGAAAAGCTTGAGAGACCGCGTTATTTAAATTATTTATATTATATTATTAAATTATATATATTATATATTATTTATTTTTTTATATATTATTCATTCATTAAATTTTATATATATATATATATATATATATATATATTATTAAAAAATTATATATCATTATATATATTATTATTAAATTATTAAAGTTATTCTAGTCTGCGACATTCGTGGAATAATAATTAACGCTAGGACGAGATATTGCTTTTCTAACATTTAAAAGCCAATTCTTGATTGGTCGCTCATCGCGCATCCGCGTTGCATCTTGCTCCTTTTATATAGTATATAGCATGGCATATGACTCCTTCGGTGGCTATTCGCGGTATCGCACACAGTCGTCGTGGGACCCAGTCGACGTATATTTCGTCGTCGGGATATCCGTGTAATTGCAACTACGTAAGTACGTTTTGTGTAACACCTCCCAACGTGTCCTTGAGATATTCCAGGATTGTTTCTTATCGATCGTTCGCGAGGGAAGCATGGGTGACACTCGACGACGGCTCGCCGCTACTTGTCATTGTGACATTTCGCATCGGAATGCCATAGGGCACCAATATGATTTTTGTGTCTTATTGATTTTTATTTATTTTTATTCAATAAGGACTCACCAAGTGCGTCTCTTTATCGTCCCACAATTAATTGAAAATATCGTTTGCAATTTAAATATATTCGATCGACGATTAATTTAATTAATTACGAATTTATCGAAATTCGATTTAAATGATTATTTCTCGCGTGAGAGGAATGGCATTTATCTTAATCGGTACGTCGATAACTGGAAATTGAAATTTCGTAGGATCCATTATGCCGTCAGTACGAAGGATGATCCTGGGTCACGTTATGTCCGGCTTGTATAACAAGATGAATCGCCGGAAGAAATTGGACGGTGACATGCTTGAGACTCCAATGAAGAGATGTCTTTCTACCTTCGACATCACGTTGCTTGGTAAATAATATTTTCCATTCTTTTATAAATAAATGTAATTTTTAAAGAATAGTAAAAAGAAAAGATTTTAAAATAGCCGAAAAGAAAAGAAAAAAAAGATATTTTCATACATGATGTACCTCCTATTTCAATGTAATTATAATTATATATAACTGCTCTTATATTTTTAATTTATTTATACATAATTGAAATTCTCTCAAAAAAAGTAAGAAGAAAAAAATTTCAAAGTAGCCGAAAAAAAAATAAAAATATTATTAAGAAATAAGATATTATTTCCATGATATATTTCTTATTTCAATATAATTATCAATATAATATAATTGCACTTATATTTTTAATTTACTTGTATATAACTGTAATTCTCTAAAAAAAAATGAGAGAAAAAGATTTCAAAGTAGTCGAAAAAAAAATTAAAATGTTATAAAGAAATAAGATATTTCCATGATGTATTTCCTATTTCAATATAATTATAATTATATATAATTGCACTTATATTTTTAATTTATTTATACATAACTGCAATTCTTTCAAAAAAAGTACGAAGAAAAAATTTCAAAGTAGCCGAAAAACAATAAAAATGTTATAAAGAATTAAGATATTATTTCCATGATGTATTTCCTATTTCAATATAATTATCAATATAATATAATTGCACTTATATTTTTAATTTACTTGTATATAACTGTAATTCTCTAAAAAAAATAAGAGAAAAAGATTTCAAAATAGTCGAAAAAAAATAAAAATGTTACAAAGAAATAAGATATTATTTTCATGATGTATTTCCTATTTCAATATAGTTATAATTTAAATTTAAATTTAATTGTAATTTATTTATAATGTAATTTATAATGTTATTTATAATGTAATTTATTTATAATGTGTATATCTCTGATTTCAACGTAATTAATTACACTTATATGCAACATGTACAAGCGACTTGCTATTATACGTACGTATTATCAAGAGTGATAGTGATAAACGTAACAATCCGGAATAATTGCCTCGAGTGTCGGAGTAAGATAGTCGGAGCATTAGTCAACGATTACATCAAATATTAATAAAAATAATAAGATTTATATGTGAGAGAAAAAATATCTCATGGAGATGTTTAGGACTTGAATATAATTGCAATATAATCCGATCACAAAAGATATTAATTAATATTAATTAATCTTTATTATACCTTCAGGCGTGGGTCACATGGTCGGTGCTGGAATTTACGTGCTGACAGGAACGGTTGCACATGACACGGCTGGACCTGGTGTGATTTTCAGCTTCCTTGTGGCTGGTCTGGCTTCCGTTTTGGCAGCACTCTGTTATGCAGAGCTTGCTGCTCGAGTGCCAAAGGCAGGCAGCGCATACGTCTACACATACGTCTCCATTGGCGAATTCTGGGCTTTCATCGTGGGATGGAATCTCATCTTGGAGCATGTGATTGGTAACAAAATTATTCCTGCGTAGAGATATTTTTGAGGTACTTATTAATAAGAAGTGAAGGAAAGGAAAAATTAAATTTTAAATTTAATTTTTAATTTTTAATTAAATTTTTAAATTTAATTTAAATTAAATTTTAAAATAAATTAGAATAATTCATTAGAATAAAAATTAAATTAAGTTAATAATTGTTTATAGCAATAAAAAGAAAGAAAATTTTTTAAGTTAATTTATTATTAGAATTACAAAAAAATTATTATGAGAAATAAATTAGAATTTTATTTTATTTATTTTATTACTTTGGATTTATTACTGGGATGGAATTTCATCTTGGAGCATGTGATTGGTAAAAAAATTATTCCTGCGTAGAGACATTTTTGAGGTATTTATTAATAAGAAGTAAAGGAAAGGAAAAATTAAATTTTAAATTAAATTTTTAATTTTTAATGAAATTTTTAAATTTAATTTAAATTAAATTTTAAATTAAATTAGAATAATTAATTAGAATAAAAATCAAATTAAGTTAATAATTGTTTATAGCAATAAAAAGAAAGAAAATTTTTTAAGTTAATTTATTATTAGGATTACAAAAAAATTATTATGAGAAATAAATTAAAATTTTATTTTATTTATTTTATTACTTTGGATTTTAAGGATCTTAATAGGAAGCTATCATTCATTAGGCGCAGCATCTGTAGCAAGGGCTTGGAGCGGATACGTGGATTCGTTAGTCGGCGGTGTGATTAGCAACTACACGCGCGATGTGGTGATGGATGGATATAGCATGGGAGAGCCGCTGGGTGCTGTTCCGGATTTTCTGGCCAGTGGATTATGTCTAGCTTACGCTACGCTTTTAGGATTAGGGGTGAAGGCATCAACGACGGTGAATTCGCTGCTAACCATCGTCAATCTCGCAGTGATGGGACTGGTCATCGTTCTGGGGATTTATTATGCAGATATTACGAATTGGAGCAGCGAAAACGGGGGTCTTTTGCCATATGGTTTCGGCGGCGTCATCACAGGCAAGTCATCCTTCACCCGTTTAATTAGAATCCCTTTCTACAGGGATGCAGGGTGTTTCTTAATAAGTGCGAAAAATTATAGGAAATGATTCTTTGTCGAAAATTAAGGGGGGGTTTTCATATAAACATATACTCCTACATCTCTGTGGAGTTACACTTTTCTAATAATGGGGGTAAAAATTAGATTTATTTTTTTCTCAAATGTGGAACAAGTTAAAGAAATGAAATTAGGTGGATATTTTCTACTAGTAAAAAGATTATTTATTAATATTTTTTTCAGCCTCCCGTATTATTGTAAGGCAATGAAACTAGCAACCTCTATTCAGTTTTTTATTAGATCTTTTTAATGGGCCGGAATATGATCATCTAAAAATATGCATTAAAAAGTTTGATTTATTTAGAGATCTTTTTATCTTTCTTATTTTTTTCATAAAATCAGTAGTTAAAAAAGAAAATAATAATAAAATAGCATAGGTTTTGTGAATTACGAGAATTAAATTTTAAAATAAACCTAAAATTAGAGTAAATGTTGAAAAAATTGGAATAAAAACAAAATTATAATAAAAAATACTATAAAATCTAAAAAAATAAAAATTTAATTTTTATCCCCATTTTTGGAGAAGTGTAACCATAGACAGAGATCTAGAAGTATATGTTTATATGAAAAACCCCCTTTAATTTCGACAAAGAATCATCTCCTAAAATTTTTCGCTTATTAAGAAACACCCTATAATGTGAGAAAGTTTGCATTATATTGTAAGAAGGGCTGTGATCGATGGCAATTATAATATACATAATTATATATTTAATATATTATATATGTTTACATGCATATATATATTTTTTCTCGGATTATATTACATAGTAGAAGGAACCAAATAACGGATGGCTATTCCTCTATAATGTTAATGTAATAAATAAAAAATAATGTCGGTGAAATATAAATAAAATTTTTGCAATTAGTGAGAGAAATGAATATTTAACATTTGTTTAATTATTCGTAAAAACGCAGAAGAAGAATTATATTGAGAATTATAGAATTCTGACGTATTTTTTTATTCAGGCGCAGCAACATGCTTCTACGCGTATGTCGGCTTCGATTCGATCGCGACTTCCGGGGAGGAGGCTCGCGATCCCGGACGAAGTATTCCCCTGGCGACGATGATCTCTATGGTGATAGTTACCATCGGATACATGATGGTCAGCGGCGCCCTGACGTTGGTCGTACCATATTGGGCGATCAATTCTATCGCGGCTCTTCCAGAAGCCTTTTCATCCAGAGGTATCCCGTGGGCTAAATATGTAATAAGGTAGAAATTTAAAAATTTACTCCTATTGACTTTTTTTAGTAACGCTTCGATTTAACAGCTCTCTCGAGAAAATCTTATACTTATGAAAAATTAATTTCTTTTTTATCATTTTTTATACCATACATCCAATAGTATCGACTGCATAATTGATCGAAATATTCAGAAAGTTAAAAATATAATATCTAACGCTTGAATATTCTTCTCCCTCTTCAAGTTCAAAGTTACAATTCCGCTTCATGGATCCTTATGGGGAAAAAAGACAGTATTTTATAGTAAAGAATAATTTAATTATTTATTATTAATTAAAATTATTTATTATTATTTATTTATTATTCAAATTATTAATTAATTATTATTATTATATTATATTATTATTAAAATTATTAAAATTATTTATTAATTATTATTATTATATTATATTATATATTATTATTATTATATTATATTATTATATTATTTATTACTAAAATTATTTATTAATTATTAATTAAAATTTACACATATACTAATGTTCGGATTTTGCACATTCTAGCGTGGGTGCTCTTTGCGGAATGACGACGACCCTTTTCGGATCCCTCTTCTCTCTCCCGAGGACAATGTACTCCATGGCGAACGACGGTCTGTTATTCGGCTTTCTTGGCCGCATCAACGAGCGAACGCAAGTGCCGATGTGGAATCTTGTCATAAGTGGACTATTCAGTGCCTTAATCGCTCTAGTATTTGACCTTCAACATCTGGTGGAGTTTATGTCCATCGGCACTCTCCTCGCGTACACTATCGTCGCGGTCAGCGTCATTATGCTGAGGTATCTACCTGAGCAACAGTCGTCCGATCAATCCAGCGTCACTACGCCGAGCAGTCTGTCCTCGCCACCCACGGAGGAAGCGGATTCCAGCAATTACAGCAGCATGGCATCCGTCAAATCCGAAGTAGGTCTTCATCAAGGGTACATGTGATTCTTTGATCGAGACTCACACTATTAGATATAATGAAACTTGAAAATATTTTAATCCTAAGAAGTATAAACCTTAGTAACAATGCATCAAACACCTGAATTTTGGTTGGGTCTATTCATACTTTATGATCAATCGTTCATATAGTTACTATGCGAAGGAGCTGGTAGATTCAAACCACGATACGCCTGGATGGAAGAATGGTTGGAGGATTATGATACCAGACACATCATGACCGCCTGTCTACTTATTTATACGATAACCTGCGCCTTCCTGAGTATTTTCCTAATAATAGCGTTTGAAACGACAGTTCCATTCACGAAGAGCGATTACCTTTCCGCGGCGATCTATCTTCCGCTACTCATCGCGAGTGAGTTTACTTCAAATTTCTTTCAATCTTGGCAGGATATAAAATATCTACTTGTTTCCATTCTCTTCGGTTATATTTATTTATCTCAGATTTACTCTTAGGTCTTTTCGTCATTGGTGCTCATAGACAAAATCCGCCGAATGGGAAGTTTCGGGTACCGCTGGTACCCTTCATACCAGCGCTAAGCATCCTCTTCAACATGGGTCTGATAATGCATTTGTCTTCGATGACGTGGTTACGGTTCTTCGTATGGATGACAGTCGGTAAATTAATTATTATTAGTTAGTACTATTTATACAGAGTGTCCCATTTTAATCGATCACCTCGAATAACTTTTTTAATTTTGATTGTAGAAAAAAATGTTTCAGACAAAAGTTGTATGGCTTGAAGGGAGAGAGATGGTGTCATTAGTTTGACCTTGAAGAGTCATCTGAACGTCACGTAGAGGTCACCTCCAACTTTTTGAATGGGACACCCTATATACTTATACATATTCTCGTAGCTTGCCTCAAGAGCTTTCCAAAATACTATAATAAAGTATTTTTTCATTGAGTACTTTTCGAGTTATGAAGCTTAAAATAATATCTTAATTTTACATAAATCATAAAATATCTAGTAAAATATTTATTTTTCGATTATCCTATCTTAATACTTTTATATACAAAATAATTAGAGGAATCAATTGGTGTAAAGAAAATACATAATTGTTTCGAAGAAAAAATATGTAATTTGCAATTAACAATTACATATTTTTTCTTTAAAACAACTGTGTTTTCTTTACACCAATTGATTCCTTTCATTATTTTGTACATAAAAGTGCTAAAGTAAGATAATCAAAAAATGAATATTTTACTAAATATTTTATAATATATGTAAAACTGAGAAATTATTTCAAGCCTCATAACTCGGAAAGTACTCAATGAAAAAATACTTTATTATAGTGTTTTGGAGAGCTCTTAAGGCAAGCTACAAGAATATGTAAAAGTATTTGGGGTGTCCCATTTAAAAAGTTGGATGTGACCTTCACGTGATCTTCAGGTGACTCTTCAATGTCAAACTAATGACACCATTTTATGTCCCCCTTCAAGCCATACAACTTTTGTCTGAAATATTTTTTTCTACAATCAAAATTAAAAAAGTTATTCGGAGTAATCGATTAAAATGGGACATCCTGTATAAGAGGAAATATGACGATATATAAATTTAACGATATAAAATATTCTGAAATTGAATATATTAATTAATTTCAATTTCTAATTCGACTCCTTTTTCTGGCTCTTCCTCAGGAATGATGATTTACTTCCTGTACGGTATCCATTATAGTAAAGAAGCAACCACTACTCCAAACTCATATTCCATCTTGATGGCCACCTCAGAGGCAGAAAAAGGTACAAAATGGGGATCGACGTTGCGAGTTAGCCCAAAAAGCGACAAAGCACCTATTTTGGATGACAAGGAACTTGTTCACTAAAGATAAGTTATGTTTTTTTATCAATTTTGTGTTTTCCTTGTTTAATTCTTTTACTAGTGAAGTCGCGAAAATCGTATGAACTTTAATACCGAAGTAAAGCTGCCGACAACGAAGCACAATACAGGTTAATGCAACGAAATACAGAACAAAATAACGTAATCTTCAACAATTTTCAATTAATTTTAATGTAATTAACGCACAATTAATATATTCGGCTACTTAAATGTCGCAATTTATTTCATGTCTTATGTAGAATCTACTTTCTACTATTCTGTTTATATGCTTTCTTTGTATTTCGGCGGCTTCACTTGACACACAAAAATTTACTTGAAATTGAAAGTTTAAGCGTAAAATATATATTTTGTAAATATCGATCTTGCAAAAGATAGACGGACTCGTACAACTCTTCTCGAAAGTTTTGTCTGGTACAAATAACTATATATTTTTGGTATACTTAGCCTCATCTAGTCTCCGACTAATTACGAGTAATTTGTATAATTTTAAGAATTGTTGATGATCGTGTTTTTTTAATACAATCAACGAAGTATTGTAACGTCGCGTTTCTCTTTGTGATTATTATTATATAATTAATTAATCGATTTTATTTTTTTAACATTAATTATGTTTTAGAATATTGCGTATGTATTTAACGAAGAAAAATTTAATTTAGAGAGAAATTATTTTATATATATTTTATATTACGCACAAATGTTTCTAAATTTCATCGTCGTTTCTTTTATTCCGCGAAAGTATAAGTATTAATAAGTATGATTATATACGACGAAATATTCTCTTTCCCCGTGTCTTCCTTTCTTTTTCTTTCATTGTTATGGGAATGACCGTGTTATTCTGTCCCTAATTACATTAACATTTAATAAACAATATATATCCCCTTCTAATGTAATAGTGAGTGATAAATATAATTTAAAGCAATGCAACGTGCAAGTTTCAAAATAATACACACAATGTATATAATATATATCCTGCAGTTATAATTATTAATAACAACGCATTTTTTAAAACGCATGGAATGATTTTTAGCAACGGTTAAAAATTCAATTAATTTATTTACAAAAGCATATTTTTAATTTTGTAGCTATATCGAATAATGAAAATAATGTGAATATACAAAACCTTACAAATATGTAATAAATTAAATATGCGATCACAAGAGTTAAATTTATCGCAGTGACATCGCTCGTGCGCTTGATTCTTACGTGACACATTGATCGCCATAAATACCCACGCGGATAATTTGCATCTATCTACAATGATATCTAAAGCTACGACTCTATACCTGGTTAACTCATTTTCATATACATATTAATAATTCATCTTCATTTTGACGATCGCATATATTTCATGTCTAAACAGCTACAATTATGTCAGGAAGATATATAAAAGAATTATCGAATAAAATATATATATACCAGTTCCGATTCTCTTTTTATATGAAAAACTTTTATTAACATGCATTCATCAATTTACGCGCGTACATAAAATACTTTCAACTATATGCATTCAATAATAAACTATAAATTCATATATTGCCGCACATGTCACATGTTTGTTACTTTTACGACATTTGTAAAATATAATCTAATACGTTATAATTCAAAATGTTATATGGTTTGAAAAAAATTCTAATCTAATCTTTTTACAAAAAAGCAACAAATCGCGAATTTGTACAAACTTTGTCTAAATGATATGTAATAATGCTCTGTAAAAAATCACATTATGTTTCTCTCGTAATGCATCATTTCGGAATAAGATATCTCACTCGTTAATTGGTAAATATATATGTATAACAAATAAATAAAAATGGAAAATATACGTTATTATATAGTAAAATTATACATATATAATTAAATAATAAATAAATAATATAATAAAATTATATTATTTAATATTGTATATACATATATATTTTTCCTAATACATACAATAATAACAATATAAATACAATAATTTTACAAATATTATATATATATAGTATTTATATAATATATTGTAATATTATATATTACATATTTATATATAAAAAAATTACAATATATATTTTATATACATATATATACATACATACATATGGATATATATGAATATATATAATGCATTGTAATGTTAAATCATATTGCTTAAATTAGTGAAATCAATAATGACTATCAAGAATGACAACCAATAGAGATCATTTTATTACGCACGGAATATTTATTTAAATTGTTAATATTATAATATTGTGTTTTCTCCTCGTAAAGTCTATATATACATTTTGTATATATATATATATATATATATATATATATATATAAAATACATATATGTATATATATTCTATAGCTAATATATTGTTTTCCGAGGCGAATTATTATATCGATTCACTTCATGCACATTCATAAAACTGGAACACTGGTAAACGTGCAGGAAATGATGCATGCGCATGGCTTATATAATATATTATATGACACTGTATATTATATGTCTCATATACAGTGTCCACAAAGTTGTTAGATCGATGCGGTTTTTGACTGGACGTCATCCACTTTACCTTTTGTGAACGTAAAACTCTCAAAGTATTTTTAATGTACTTTTCCAGCTGAATTCTCGATCCGGTGGACATGCTTTATATAGCGTCAACTCGTCGTAGAGAATTTTCTAACCATTTTACAGGTCCCAATATTAAACAACTCTATAACACTGAGCCGATATGTTACCTGTTACGAGTAAATACGATTTTCCAAACTGACATCGGTTTCGCTTGCAATATATTAATTTTTCTACGACCCCACCTAAGCCAGGAGAAGCCTATGATTAAGCAGATGATGCTTTCTATGTAATAACCGTCGAGCTGCATGACGCAAACGCCGTTATCGGTATTCGCACAGAGCTGAAAAAATAATAGATAAATATTTTATCGATTTGTATAATACTTTTATAATGTATATTAATTATGAATTACGACGAGAAAAGAAGACAAAGTACTGCGCGACCAACCTCTCTCTCCGTAATTGTGCTGCAATCGTTTGCATAATCGGTACTGCATCGTCTAAACGTTAAAGGATCGACGAACCAAAGCGCGGCCGTAGCCGGCCAATTCCCACCGAGATTGCATAAAGTATTGAGCAGTGTCATGTAAGTGCCACCAACAGCCGGATCACTGACCTTCGCAAAGAAAGCCATCGACGCCACGAACATACTACTTACGCAAATCTAAAAAAAAATTGCAAACAAATAAACAATTAAATCCGGATCGTTCTCTTGGCATCTACAGGATGTTTCAGATCACCCATTTAAAAACTAGAGAAGTGATTATTTCAAAAAAGTGAAAACATTTTCTTTATAAATCGGGTGCGCTCTATCGAATGGTGATATTTTCAACTTCTGATTCCGGCCGGAAATAGGCGATTCAGACCGGAAGTGCATTTTTTTTAATGGAATCACCTATTTTTCAATTGCATATTCTTGTAGCTTACGTCGAGAGCTTTCCAAAACACTATAATAAATTATTTTTCCATGAAGTACTTTTCGAGTTATGAGGTTTGAAATCATTTCTTAATTTTACATAAACCATAAAATATCTTGTAAAATATTCACTTTTCGATTATCTTACTTTAATACTTTTACGTACAAAATAATGAGAGGAACCAATTAGTGTAAAGAAAACACATAGTTAAAAATATGTAATTGTTAATTGTAAATTATATATTTTTTCTTAAAAATAACTATGTGTTTTCTTTACACCAATTGATTTATATGGTTTATGTAAAATTGAAAATATCACCATTCGATAGAGCGCACCCAAATTATAAAGAAAATGTTTTTACTTTTTTGAAATAACCACTTCTCTAGTTTTTAAATCGGTGGTATGAGTGGTCTAAAACACCCTGTATAAAGAAGACACAATCCCTATTAATATTTACCTGATGTATGAAGTAGAGACCTATCAATACGACGAAATAATAAGCTGGAACATATCCATTTATTACCACGAACGGCGTAATCCACACCAAAGTAGCCGCTATTAAGCCGAAAGCCAGCCTGTATCACATACAAACTACTTTATAAATTGCTCGGTAGAGAAACTATTCATCATCATCATCATCATCATATGAATTACACACTAATTACCTGTAAGGCATAGCTTTCACATAAACGTCCATAGGTCTGGGCCCAGCAGTATATTTCGAGATAACTAATGGCAAAATTATTTGCAGTGGTATCATCGGCACAGCCATAAAAGCGAACTTTTCCTTGGGGATTCCGGCTTCTATGAGCTTTAAGCTCGTCACAGCGTCACATGCCGAAAATCCGATCTGCAGAACGTAATGAATGAAATCAACTCTCTACGTCACATCCAGCGCAATTAAATTATAATTAATAAAATTAAATTCTAATTTTAGATATCGAACCTTTGCAGTCAGGAGGAATATGATCGTGGTCTTTATGGCTGGTAATTTAACTATGTCCCACAATAGCTTGTACGCGTGTTTAATATCCCTGTTTAGCTCTTCGCCTTTCGACAGTCTCCCCTTATTTTCATGTTTGAATAACGCGATAAATGTCGTCGTAACGATAAACGTCCAGCCCCAGAAATACAGAAATCCTACAGGTATAAGAATACATATTAGAGAAAGACCTTGTAAGTAGATTTATAATAATTCCACCGATAAACAGAACCTTCTTACCAGGTAGAGTTAGCATGCCCACGTCAGAAGGGACTGATCTTAGGTAGCTGTTGCAAAATTCGGCGGATTCCAGCGAAATAAACAACACGTAACCGATGAAGTAACCAGCCGTTTGGCCAACGCTATTACAAGTGGACGCATATCCGACGTTACACCTTAATAAGGAGATCGATTAATTAAACAGAAATATGACTTAGAAGAAATATTACTTATATTCATATACGAAGCTGGCAGTGTTTGCTTTAGATAATTTCAAAATTATCTAGATAAAGATAAAGATAAAAATCCGTAAATTTATCTTAGATGAGATAAAAACGATTTTGCTTTTACTTAATCTAGATGAAAGATGAGATAATTATTGCGATAATCTAGATAATTATTTAGATATTTTTGTTTATTTTAGAAGACTATAAATATTTGTAAAAAATGTGACGCAGATTATAAATGGGATATTAAAATCATAAACACATATTCTTTCTCTTTTCCTAAAGAATATTTAAATAATAGCAAAAAGGTATATAAATGATGTGATAAATATTTATTTATTAATTTATATTTATAATATATTAATAATAATAATATAAAAAATATATTTTAGATATTTTAGATAGATTTTTAGAAGCTTGCTTTAGATTTTTGGAAAACTTTTTTGCATAATGAAAACGTCATCTTAGACAATTTTTAGATAAGATGACATATATTTTTCATCTAAGATAAAGATACTTTGTATCTCTTCATCTAGTTAAAGATAAAGATGATCCATTTCTTTATCTAGATGATTATCTAGATACCAGCAAACACTGGAAGCTGGATTATTTTCTTTGCTAGGGTACCTTTTAAGCATCGTGAGCGCCCATCCATCAACTACAATGTCCTGTGTCGCGGCAAGTACGTTCAATGAGAAGAATAATGCGGTCAGCATTTCGATATTAGGCTTCTCATGTTCCTTGCCTAGCCAGTAGTCGACGTAATTCGACAGAAGGAGCATAAACATACCCATTAGGTACTGGATAGGAATCAACCATGTTTTCCTTCGTCCAAATTTTTGGGAGAATATGGAATCTACTATCGGCGCCCAAAAGAGCTTCAACGAGAATGGCCATTGTACGAAACTAAATTCCGCCTGCGACAACGAAAAATACGGTGTAAGCGTTATTTTTTATTTAAGACTTAACTTTTACTGTGACTTGTTAATTCAAATGTATTTCTCTAAAAGTGAATCAGTGAAAATATCACTAATTTAAACAGTAAAATAAGATTTCACTGAGAATCATTTCAGTGAGTATTTTACTGATTTTCAGGAAACGCTTTCTTTTTTTGTTATTTTATCTTATATCTCACTGATTATGGTCAGTTAAAAATATAAAATTCACTATAAATATAATAAATATAATTATAATAAATTATATAATTATAATAAATTATATAATATTATATAAAAATATAATTATAATAAATTAAATATAATAAATATAATAAACATATAAATAAAATTCACTATTTACTATTTTTCAGTGATAATATTAATCCACTTTTAGAAAGTGTCGCGAGGTAGGTCGTGAAAAGTTAGATATGATTCATGGATTACGTGATGGAAAATTTGATCAAATATTTTAGCAACATTCTGTATATCGAATGATAAAAATTTTATGTGTACTAAAATAGATAAAACACAATCGCTGACGTGTAAATACTCGAGCACTGGTACCTATACTTTGAGTCTCTGGGAAGTTAAACCGATCAGCTGTTTCTTATCTTTAATGTCAGACAACTAATCATATCCCGTACAGCACAAAACATTGCAGCAATATTTCTGTAGTAATATTTCAATGTTGCTGCAATGTTACAAATAATAATAATGCTACAATGTTACAACAACAATAATAATAATATTGCTGCAATGTTACAACAATAATAATAATATTGCTGCAATATGGGATCCCATACAGCACAAATCATTGTTGTAATATTACAGCAATATTGTAATATTGCTGCAATGTAACAACAAACAAAAAAATAAAAGTTAGTTAAAAAACAAATTATTTTATTTTCATAAAAGAAAAAGATTTTTATTTTTTATTTTTATCGTTTCTTTCAAGAAATTTATTTAATTTAATTTTCTTTTTATTTCATTTTCCTTTCATCTTTTGCTCTTCCTTCATCAGAGGTTTTTGAGCGATAACTTCTTAAGGAAGCATTTTTCGACCTACGTTTATCAGAAATTTTTTGTTCAGAATTAAATTTCCTATAAGATCTCAAAGTCTGGCTGGAACGTTCGAGGCCACCCTGTATATAATTCTCAATGCTCGGATCCCGTTTTTTACGTGCTTGGCCACAATAGTTTTCCTACCTGTTGTCGATAAGAAACCCCTCTATTCTGCAACAGCATGGGAATCGAACCGCATAATCCCAAGGGGATGCCCTGGAGCAGGTACAAGAAGAACAGGATCGCGATGTTCTTCTCGTCACCTCGCAGATCGGAGGGTTCCTGAGTATTATTCGCGTCGACGACGCCGTCTTCGACGACGCTGTTTTCCCTGTCCGATTTTCTCTTCATTCTTTTCTTCGTTCTTCACCTTTCGTCCTGGATCAGCCAGCAATATTCAACTCGCGCCACGTTTACTCGCGTTGACGTTCAAGGTTATCCCCACCGATCGTTCAGGATCATCCGGTGTCAAGTCAAAAATCCACCGCTCGTCACCGCATATCGTTTCAAGTCAAGTCCGCTCTGGATTCTCGACGATGACGATGAGAATATAAAGACGAGTGATTTATGCCAGTTCAAGTGTCATCACCTACTGTCATCGGACATAACCTTCGCTTCTGGTTGTCGACGATCAAACGCCGAAATTCGTGACTGGATTTCTCCTCTTCTCTATTTTTCTAACCTCTTTGACATCGCGACGCTGGCCACGCGACGAGGGAAAAAAAATATCACCCGATTCAGGAAACGAAGCGCGAATATGCGAGGACGTACTGTCGCGTTGCCACGTTGTTGATTATTAGGACACGTCAGTTTTCCTCTCGTGTTTTTCACCCGTTCAACGTCACGTGCGCGCGGCTAAAGTTGACGTAGATGGGGATGTGAAAAAATTATACGAATAGAGCGCCATCTCGATAACACCATATGGAGGGAATTTTAAATCGAGATTCTCGAGTTTCTCCAATTATTATTATTATTTCCATCACACACGTAACAGTTTTATAAAGAGAGATTTGATATAATATATTTATATATATTTATATATATTTATATATATTTATATATATATATATTAATAATTATAATAATAAATAATAAAGTATAATAATAAAATAGAATAAAATAATAAAATAATAAAAAATAATAAAATATAATAATAAAAGCTATATATATATATTTAGAGCTTTTATTATTATATTTAATTATTTTAATTATTTTTATTATTTTATTATTAAATTATTAAATGTTTTATTATTAAAATTATAAAATAATAAAATAATAAAAAATATATTATATTTAATTATTTAATAATTAAATATATTATATTTAATTATTTTTATTATTTTATTATTTTATTATGTTTTATTATTATACTTTATTATTTATTATTTATTATTATAGATTTTATATTTATATTATATTTATTATATTATATTTATATATATATTTATTATATTATATTTATATTATATTTATATGTTATATCTTATATTATATTTATATATTTTTTTATTATTCTCCTTTTAAGCACGATATATCATCGTTCATGACATTACAAATTCATCACATTATAATTTTAATACCGGGTTAGCTTTGCATATTGCATGTATTTCTTCGTTCAACTGTTTTTCATGACTGGACGAAATCTCTAGTTATAAATGTTTTATCAAGCATATTTCACTTCAAATGCTCAATGTGATATTTGAAGCAATCTCTCGTATGTTATGGATATTGCGATGTCTTTTGCATTATTTCGAATCATTTTGATTCATTTGCATTATTTCGACTCATTTTGATTCATATTTAGAAATAAACGCATGCACAACAAATTATTAACGCGATTTAGCACGATTAGATATTTATTTTGTATTTAAATTTGCAAAAATTGCGATAAAATGACCTATTTTGTTTTTGTTAGATTATATAAATTATACAGGGTAGGGCATTTATAGTGACACAAGCAATTTTTTCAATAACGAAGCGAGATATAAAAAAATGTTTCAGACAAAAGTTATATGGCTTGAAGGGGGACATAAGATGGTGCCATTAGTTTGAGCTTGAAGAGTCACCTGAACGTCATGTGAAGGTCACCTCCAACTTCTTAAATGGGACATCCTATATGCTTTTACATATTCTTGTATCTTGTTTCAAGAGCTTTCCAAAACACTATAATAAAGTATCTTTTCATCGAGTACTTTTCGAGTTATGAAGCTTAAAATAATATCTTAATTTTACATAAACCATAAAATATCTAGTAAAATATTCATTTTTCTATTATCTTACCTTAATACTTTTATGTACAAAATAATGAGAGGAATCAATTACTGTAAAGAAAACACATAATTGTTTCGAAGAAAAAAAATGTAATTTGCAATTAATAATGACATTTTTTCTTAAAAACAACTGTGTGTTTTCTTTACACCAATTGATTCCTTTCATTATTTTGTACATAAAATTATTAAGATAAGATAATCAAAAAAATGAATATTTTACTAGATACTTTATGATATATGTAAAATTGAGAAATTACTTCGAGCCTTATAACTCGGAAAGTACTCAATGAATAAATACTTTATTATAGTGTTTTGGAAAGCTCTTAAGGCCTAGCTACAAGAATATGTAAAAGTATTTAGGGTGTCCCATTTAAAAAGTTGGAAGTGAGCTTCACGTGACTTTCCGGTGACTCTTTAAGCTCAAACTAATGGCACCATCTTATGTTCCCCTTCAAACCATACAACTTTTGTCTGAAACTTTTTTTTATATCTCGCTTCGTTTTCGAGAAAATTGCTTGTGTCACTATAAATGCCTCACTCTGTATATTAACCATGTGTGTATTATAAAAATGTGTGATTAAGAAACATTTAAACTAATAACATTTATATTGATGAGTAATTAAGCAAAAGCTACCATTATACAAGAAGATTTTATTTCTGTGCGTATATATATATATTTTTTTTATTGGATAAGTGTGGTTATATGGTTGAAATAAAAAAAATCATTCAACCTTTCCTTATATAACTACAAGCAAACGTTTTGCAATTTCTGTTTTCAGTTGCGACATCGATTGCCATTTTAATTAAATCCTTCACGTTTGAGTTCACGGAAGCGGCATTGAGTACGTTGTTTCGTATTCTGCAAAAGTTTGAAATGATTAGGGCGATTAATATGACATTGCGAAGTAAAAATTCGAATAGTGAGAAAAAAACACGTACAAATTAGTAAGATGATATTTTCGATTCTGAGTGTTCAAGAATTCAACGTCCTTGTCGATTTCGGACAGATAGTCCTTCTGGATTTCGCATGTCAACCTGGCGACGCATCTCGGGGAGACGATCAATCTGTTTGTCGAGCTGTCCTTTTGTATCTGTCGGTTGAGAAAAAAGATCAATATTTCAGTTCAAGTTTCTGCGCAGAAAAATTACACGTCGTCGTATGTTTGAATATACCTTGTACAAGTTTCTCCTCAACATGTTCAAGATGTAATCCATTTGATCGTCGGGCTGATGGTCGTATTGCATCTCCTCCGAGAAAGCCTCCGATCTCTTTTTCCTTCCACCTACGATGCCAATTGGTAGGAGAACCGGATTTGAAGCTAACGCCGCTGCTGCTCCGATCAATGCAACACCAGCTAGAGCTTTTAACGCTACGGCCTTAACAGATAAACATAATTATTAACATAATTATTAATTTACAGATAAACATAATTATTAACATAATTATTAATTTACGAATTCCTTGATCGAATTAAAATAGAAAAGGATTGTTTAACTTCCCCAGTATCGAAATATGCTTATTACTGTTAAATGATAAGGCGCTTATAATAGATACGAGATACTAGATAAAATTTTACTTACAGATTCTAACAGATTTAGATTTAGGTGGGACCAACATTATTCCGGATTTAAGCGAAATTTAAATATGTCTATTTTTATCTTTCTTCCTAAATAAATAAGGATCGACACATATATGTCTTGTTTCAAGCTAATAATATTGGTGCAATCGAACCTTAAATGCTTAGTTAATCGAAAGTAATTGAGGAATTTAATTGTTCTTTGATAATTTTGTAAATATTTTTTAATTTCGAAATCTTTAATATTTAGTATTTAATTTCTTTACAAAAAAAAGTCAATGATTATTGTTAAAATATAATTCGATTTAAATATAATTTGCTATTCAGACTCAAAACAAGACAGGAATAAGACAGGAATCTTAATATTGAATAATTAATGTAACCAGATGATGACATAACCAGGTGATAATTTGCTATAATTATTATAATTAATTGATTAATTTTTGGTACATGACACGTACTGTATGGCAAGATGGTTTTTTCGAAGTACATATCTTGCTTTGCTTATTCTAAGTAGAAATGATTTTAAATAGGAAATAAAATGACAGCGATAAAAATTATAAATTAATAAACATTTTCTTACATTTTGTATCAAAATAATTATAAACAATAATTATTCTTGTAAGCCTGTTAGAGAATCGAATATATTTCATTATATTGTAAATTTCTCGTCGACTTAAAAATGTAATTTGTCTTCAGAATTGAAATCGCATAATAAGCCTGACAATTAAAGATCGATTAAAGTAATTATATTAAATGGATTAAAATAAATATCAATCACTTAATTAATAATTAAATTAAAATAAAAAAAATAATATTTCATATAAATTTCTTTCATATTGCGTTAAATATATCGCTGCGATAATGAATTAATTTATTTTAAATATATAATAATGTTTTGAAGGCTCATTTTTATTTATATAACATTTATTCGACCAAAATATTTACCATATGAACAATCAGAAAATGTAATTATTTTTTTTAAATAAAGCGCGTATTAATGTATCCATTTCCAGTGTATCGCGAATAATTCGTCGCAAAATTTAAAAAAATTAATCGAAAAATTAATTCTCACTAACAATCCATAAGCGAAAATAGCGGATACTTATCAAAATAAATTGTCATTTTTCGTAAAGAAATGATTTTATATGATTTAGCAAAAAAGCAAAAAATGGGCATCGCAGAAAAGAAACAACAACCTGGATACTTGAAGACTTTCAAGAGGACTTTAACAAGTTATCGAATATTTTGATTTTACTTGTTATTTTTGAGAGTGGATTTCAGCAAACTTGCAATATGTATCCGTTACTGGCAGCTTGTCAAAATTTTTCTCTCTTCCTTTTTTCGATTTCTCTATTTATATAAAGGTAATAAAATTGTGAAAAATATTCATCTCCCTCGAAATATACGCACCTTTTGCGCGTGAAGATTTCCGGGATGCTGTGGCACACTTCCGTCCGGATAAGCCGAGTCGCCAGGACCGAATTCGTCACCGTCGGCCAATGTTCCCGAAATCCCATAACCGCCGTTCGAACCTCCATATCCAGACGGCCTGCCCCCGTAGCCTCCGTGACTGCTAACGCCATAACTGTATCCTCCAGCATTTCCGTATCCCAAAGCGCTGGGTCTATTAGCACTTTCACTTCCGTACACTGGACGCGATGGGTACCTTTTGTTTTCATCAGGAGCGAATCAAAATGTCTTTAATTTATCAAAATTTTTAATAACGCCTTTTGCTTCATTTTTCGAATTCTTTAAATATTTACGCCATCAAGAGGGAAATTAATCTTTTCTGAATTAACATCAAAATATCTTTAATTTATCAAAATTTTTAGTTAGTTATTTTCCTTTATTTTTCGAATTTTTTTAAATATTTACGCTATCAAGAGGGAAATTAATCTTTTCTGAATTAACACCAAAATATCTTTAATTTATCAAAATTGTTAGTTACGCATTTTTCTTCATTTTTTGAATTCTTTAAATATTTACGCCATCAAGAGGGAAATTAATCATTTCTGAATTAACATCAAAATGTCTTTAATTTATCAAAATTTTTAGACACGCATTTTCCTTCATTTTTTCGAATTATTTAAATATTGACGCCATCAAGAGGAAAATTAATCTTTTCTGAATTAACATCAAAATGTCTTTAATTTATCAAAATTTTTAGTTACGCATTTTCCTTCATTTTTCGAATTCTTTAAATATTTACGCCATCAAAATTAATTTTTTTTTTAAATTAACATCAAAAGTGTTTCGTAAAATTCGCGGAGAGTAGCGAAAGGAAGAAGGAAGTTGAGAAAATTCACCTGTCTCCCGACTGACTTCCCGCGTAGGTTCCGCTTCCGCCTTCTCCTCCTCCGGGTCTACCGCCACTTCCGGCGGAACCTGAGGGCCGACTTTGCGTCTGCCATCCGAATCTGAAAGGAAATTTCGCTTTCTAAAATTTTTATGTACGTACAAGAGATAGCCAATAATATATTACTTACCTGTCAACAGGATTTCGCTCGTTATATTGAGAAGGATAATGTCCGATCTCCAAAGGAACCTTGTTGTAATTATAATCCGATCTTGCAGGTTCGCTGGTACTGTATCTGCGGCCGCAGCAGCTGGAACTTGCAAGTAAAAACATTCCACATATAATTCGTTGATAAGTCAGTTATTAACTTACCTATTATTTTTATTATTAATTATTGTCAATTTATTATCAATTTATTATCAATTTATTGTCAATTAACGTAACTGTCACATTTGGAAAGTTAAGTTTAAGATTTAAGGGGGGATAAAAACTACGAAAATAATTCAAAGATGTTGACTTATCTCTGTCGAGACTCGAGTCGCGATGTAAGACGGTTCTCGGTTTCTTGTCCGTGTTCCTTTCCTCCTCTCTGTTATTGTCTAGGATATGCTGCGACGAGTTTTTCGCGCGAGTGATATTTTCCAGAAGTTTATCCTCCGTCTCCACAGAGTGTTTCTTCGAATGTTCAGTTGTCATCGGGAATTCACTTTTCTCCGCCAGTGCACAATAAACACCGAGGATGATGAAGAGAATTAGGACGTGCGTCATTGCCGCGATAAGTTAAAATGCGAATATTTAAGACGGTTTCTTCTCAAGCTACAGAAAATACAAAGAAAGTATCGAGTTCGCGGATAATCCTTGGCTAAGAATCATAAAAGGTACGACGAGCATTCGCTTCAACGAGATGACACAAAAGTAACTCTCTAATTTCCCAAGTTTCACCTATTTATATAGCGGTCATGCTTGGGATCCTATCATAAATTCACCCTTCAGGGACGAGCATGGGATTTTTCTGTGATAAAATGTAGGAAAATAATAACAAAATTAATTCTGACATTTGTTTCTTTGTATTTCTTTTTCCAATCATGATAAATTTGTTATTATAATTACATAAAAAGCAACAAGAGATTTTACTTTAAAATTTTACTACAAGAATTTAATTTAATATTTTTGTAGGTTTTATTTATGCATGCTAGTTTTATTGATTTTATTTATTCAATATTTGTTTAAATAATATGTAAAATTCATATTTATTTTTTAATTATTTGGAAATTAATGTAATAATAATATAACATATTTCTTTTCTGCTAATGATTTTATAGTTTTTTTATTTTTATTTTTATGTTATAAATATTCCACAAGTAAACTGTATAATTTTCACATGAAATAATGTACTTTAGTTGCGTCCCTGAAGGCACAATGTGTGACAAAAACGTCAAGCAGCGCAGAGCACTAGCGAAAATAAAAGTGTCGCGAGTGAGTCAACAATCGTCACGCTAGCACATACTTAATTAAGATTTCCCATTGTTATTGTTTTCGTTATTCGGTTACGAAACTTGACAAAAGTCACGAGACGAGATGATGCCAATAGATACCTCGCGTCATTAACTGTATTACTTTATATGTCTTCCCCTTTTCAGGAATCCCTCCAATTCAATCCCACCTTCTCCTCTATAATTAATATTTAATTAATGCTATTTTCGCGGAAAATCACACAAGCCTCGAGTACTTTTTTTTCATTTTTTCCACTTTCTCTTTCGTTACGGTCTTTGATCTTTTTGAAAGTGTCTGTCAGCAAAGATTAAAATAAACCTAAGATCTTTTTTTTTATGATGAGAGGGATTTAAAACAACTCGTACAATAAGATGTTTGATTCACCGATTATCACACAGGAAAAAAGGATATTCTTATTTTGAAAATATATTTAGTTTTAACATGGAAATCTTGAATTGAGATTATATCGCGTTAATTTAAAAAAAATGTATAATTACTGGAATAATTGCTTATTTGAATGAAGCCATTTTATACAGTTCAATCGAGAAAAATATATTCTCATGATTAAGATTTAATTTTCTTGAATGGAAAAGAAACAATGTTGGATAGAAAATAACACTTTTAAATCAAAGATTATAATTTTCTTAAAGTAGAATTAAATAATTATATATTCTTGAGGTGACAAATACAATATTAAAATAAGACTAATAATTGTTTACCTGAATGAAGCCATTTTATATAGTTCAATCGAGAAAAATATATTTTTATGATATAAGATTTAATTTCTAAAGATTCTAATTTTCTTAAAGTAGAATTAATATAAATAATTATAAATAATATAAATAATTATATATTCTTGAGGTGATAATTACAATATTAAAATAAGATGATAATATTGTTGAAATTTAAAATTATTAAATTCTTCTAAGATTAGAAATTGTTACGTATATACAAAACAATGAACGCGTTAGTTTAATTATATAAGTTTTGATTTGACACTTCTTTTTTTTCTGTGCAAGTTCGAGAATGAAGGAGTGATAGCCAGGTTTGAAAAGTTTCGCCAAATTGATTATTGCTAATTTCCTATTGTGTGCTTTGTTTCTCTTACTGGATTTCCGTTGCGAAATGTGAACAGGACAATTTGTTCCGCCTGGACGTTCGTCAGTGTGACGAATAACCGAAATTATGCGAATACACTCCGCATTCATGAGTCCTTATTACGTTAAACTACAAAATTTCTAACAACGAGAGAGAGAGAGCTCGTGACGAATCACTAGTCGGTCTTATAAAATAATGATAGAGGCTGTTGCTTTTTTTTCTCCCAACTGTTGCAAATCTATGGTTGGCAAAAAGATGGATGGAGTATGCGTTTTACCTAGCTCGGATTCATTGTAACGAGTATTCTCGATAACTATAATGTAGTTCGATATCATCTTTTGCACATCAATTTCTTATTAATTAAGGAAGGTTTTTAGCAGGGTTGGCATGTTTTAAACAATGTGTTTAAAACTATTTGATTAAAACTTGTTTAAAATAGTGGACACTGTTTTAAACATTTTTGGTTTAAACTGTTTTAAACTACTGTTTAGAACCGTTTAAAATATCGCAAATAAAATATATGATTATTTGGAAAAAAAATGGTAAAAAAAATTAAAAACAAATAAAAACTAATAGATGTGTATGTTGCAAAAAAGTTTTTGTTTTAGTGTTTTCAGTTTTTTATCTATATTTATGTAACATATAGATATAAAAATATAAATAATAAAATAAAAATGATAAGATGGGTATTATTTTAGCAGAATATTTATTTTTGGATATTAAATAACAATCAATACAATAAAGATTACTTAGAAAATATTGACTGACTTTACATTTTACATTTTAACATTTTAAATTAATAGTACATAACTTATAGCAGATCAGTAGTTCTAAAAAAAGTTTTTCTTTTAAAAAAAAGAATTGAGGTGTTTTCTTTTATTTAGAATTTATGTTGAAAGTTAAGCATGAGGCTACTTAATAAGAAAATAGGGAAGGAACCAAAGTATTATATATTATTAACCAAAGTATTAAATATTATTAACCAGAACTTTTTTTTAGAACTACTGACCTGCTATGAATTATATACTATTAATTTAAAATGCTAAAATGTAAAATGTAAAGTCAGTCAATATCTTCTAAGTAATCTTTATTGTATTGATTGTTATTTAATATTCAAAAATAAATATTCTGCTAAAATAATACCCATCTTATCATTTTTATTTTATTATTCATATTTTTAATAGCGTTGTCAATTTTGGCAACGTTATTTACAGTTTAACGCTAGCGAAAAATTTAAATATTTACACAAGCTATTAAGTCAATCAAAGCTATTAAGCATCAAAGCTATTAAGTATTTTTTGTTTAAAACATGCTTTTTTTGTTTAAAACATGATTTTTTTACTTTACTTAAAAACACAAATAAAACAAAAAAACATTGTTCTAAACAAAAAAACAATGTTTTTTGTTTAAAATAAAAAAAACAAGTTTCTTGCCAACTCTGGTTTCTAGCATAGAATTATCTTGTCTCGACTTTTATTAATCATTACTATAGCTTTATAAGTCAATTATCAATTAATTTAAATTATTAATTATTAATGAATTTAAATTTTTGGGCCAGTTATAGAGTCTCGCAAACTGATGAAGAATGTTTAGAAAATTCAAAGCACTGGAGATGCGTTTCATTAATCTTCATGCGAGACTTCAAGCAGGAAGGAAGGCGTATATATTACACTTGGATTGTGTCGAGTATGTGTATCCGATGAACTGCAAGAGCCAGGACGAGAGACGCGAGCATTAATTTAAGTAAAACCCGCGAGGGTCGGCGGGGCCGCAATGAAAGAGAGAATCCGATTCCGTTCGAGGATGCTGGGAACGGGACATTAGGGGGCTAATTTAAAAAATAGAGGGAGAGGCTGCCGCGCTTAGGAAACGAAGGTGACTACGGAAGCGGGACAGGAATAGAAAGGGGGAGGAAGAGAGAGATAGAGAGATACCTAGAGGGGTTGCCCGTAGAAGATACGAGAGACTGCGATGGGATGAAGCGAGAGCAGAGTAATCAATACGCATTCACACGCGGTGCATACCCGGGTTTCCATGGGAACTGACGCCCACGCATGCGTCGGTCCATGGGATGCTGCTGTACCAGCGAGATCGGAAGTCCGAGTCAGTCTCGCGCCAACCATTCCATGAGCGAGAGACGAGCCACGAAGATCGGCCAAAGCATGAAGAAGTCTCTTCACAGCTGTCTGAACGATACACATATTTCAATTATATAATAATATAATAATTGTATAATTATTAGATATAATTATTATATTAATATATTAAAATAATTATATATATTAATGAGAAAAATAAAGAGAGAAAATGATAGATTTAATAGAGAAATGAGATACTGAATGAGTAAATTTGTTTGGAAAGAATGATTGGCGTCTCGGATGTTAAAGCGGGAGGGGGGTGGGGGTGGGAGAGGGGGTCACCTTGGTCTCTCCATCGTCGTCGTTCGAAAGGTTCATTCGGTGCGGCGTTCGTCCGACGCTTGTATTCAACTCCCCCACCCCTCGGCCACCCTCACTCGATGGCGCGAGGGGTCGAGGGTTGCTGGTTGCGAAGCGCCTGCGCCGAGTCCCCAATGACGGACTCGGCTAGGTAGGTGCTCGACCCTGGGACGCAGTTTGGGAGAAAACAAGCGGCGAGTAGCCTGCTTTTCTCCGGATGGCCCTTTCCTAGTCATCCTAGAATCTTGGCAAATGGGCAGATTGATCAACGAAAATCGGGAGGGAACGATACGGGTCCGATGCAGCTGGGGCGCGTGGTGTGTTCTAGTCGACATGGGGATGTTCGCGAGGTGGTACTGAACGAACTGAACGATGATGATACGAGGCTTGGGCGCAGCGGATATAATAGCGCGAAAAAAACTGACGTTCGATAATACGCGCGACAGGGGTTCGTTGAACCCTTTCGTGAATCTGGGCAGCCGTCGCGGTTGATTCGAACGCCTCGTCCCCAGGATGATGCGCGTTGAGTGATGAATTAGAATTCTGCGTTATCTCTGTGAACGTGGAATTATTTCGAGATATTATTAAGGGGACCTTCGTCTCGAGTACCTCGGTTTTCAGTGGAAAATACTCTTAGATCTCGTGTCGCTATCAGTGCAGCTGGATGCAGCGTCGGGGAAGATCGTGAGAAAGATGCATGAGACTTTTGTGTGGTGCAGCGTGTGCTTCAGCAGTCTTTAATCGTCCGATTGCATGTGGGTCACGAGTTGCGTTTGCCACGGCTAACGAGATAGAAGATTTACCGAGGCAAGAGGTAAGCTTGTTAACTGGCGGCAGAATCGCTGATGCAAAAGTGAATCGTACAGTAAGATGGATTCAGGTATTAGTCTGAAAAAGGAAGCTTTACATGCAACACATGCGCAAACAAATTAATCTCATCGATGTAGAGTAATGCTCAGATCGATTTTCGCAATTAATTTGATGAACAGATTTGCAATATCAGATTAATCGTTTTCTGTCAAAGCTCCAAATAATTCATCTGAATTTAGATACCTCTCTATTCTATCCTATAATTTATTAAAAAAAGAGAAAGGGGGACCTTCGAAAAAATTTATTGGCCGAAGGAGATGTATGTATCTCATAATTACGTGATTTTATTCGAGACGATTGAGAGTTTACGGTAGCTTCGATACATCTTTTTCACCGAGTGACATAGAAAAATCTACTATTGAACGATAAAGAATCTCAATAGGAGAAAAGAGAGATCAGTAGGCAGTATAAATTTTCATCACGGCAAGTCACGTGGCTAAAGTAGCTACTTACGGTGTCCTTAACCTCGGTGGAAAATGTTCTTCATGTTCTAGCGGCTATACGCAACGATGCATCTTAAACTCTTCTTAAACGGTAAATGCATAAATTAATGCGATAAATTAAGAGAAGAAAAAAAATTGTATCTCAATAGACATCTAAATAAACGTGCGCGTTTATTTGAAGACTTTTTCATCGAATCATGAGATTATATGATATCGCCAAGTTAACTTTGCAATTTACATAGGCCGTGCGTTCGCTACTTGAAATTTAAATAGGGGACACTAACGACGAGCGTCCCTTAAGATATGCAGCAGATTAGAGGCTGTTCTTTCCGGCACAAAGGGATCCGATAATGAGAACTACCGCAGTTGTTTGCACAAGAATCGCGCTTCTTTTAGCAGCGGTCCTTCGTGGGTTGCACGAAACGCAAGGGGCGTTCGCCCTCTCGAATTGTTTAAAGAAGAGAGCGTTTATGTAAACGCTCCAAATCAACAGTCAGGTAGTTGAAGTAAATTCAGAGTTGCGACAGGGATATCGGAATGGAGTAGGAAAATTTTCAAAAATGTCTCATCAGTTTGCGTAATCAACGAGCCTAAAATTAAATACGCACTCTCTGTGCATCATTATTCAAGTGATCTCTCTCGTTATGCACTTCTTGATGTATAATGCATTTTAAAATGATAGCTTTGCTATAATTATAAATATAAAGCTTGTCGATCAATATTATTATTATTATTACTATTATTATTATTATTACTATTATTACTATTATTATTATTATTATTATTATTATTATTATTATTATTATTACTATTATTAAATATATTATTATTATTATTTTTATTATTATTACATAATAACATTATTATATAATAATAATATTGATCGACAATACTGACAATGGAGTAGTAAAATTATAGTTTAATTACAGTTTCATTTCTGTATAATCGAGTTTACATTTTATTAGATTTTTAAAAAAAGCAGAGTCAAGTGTTCTCTTTTTATTTCTCCTAAAAAGAAAAATCGATCGAGTACTGGAGTAAAATTTTGAGAGACAGTAGTTTAGAGAACGAGCTTAAATTATATAAATACACTCTCTGTGCATTAGTATTCAACTGGCTTCTGAATCATGTATTTCTTGACATATAACGCATAAATCGCTTTGTACGATCGAGTTTACATGTTTTTAGATTTTTAAAAAGTACTGCCTACAGAGTCAAGTGTTCTGTCTTCATCCCCCTTGGAAAGAAAAACCGACGTATTGATCGATCGCCGGTTTCATCTTCGTGACATTCGATGTCGAGCAAAGACTCGACTAAATTTCGAATCCCTTCCCTTTGCCGGCTCTTTAATTCAACTCTCACGAGAGGGTAACGCCGTCGGAAAGGGGAGCGAGTCGTCTTCTACGTCTGTTGTCCGCGTGACTCTCTAATCTAAGCTGGTCTCTTCGCGGTTAAGGTCTTGTTTTCTCATCAAGAATGATGGGATATTTATCAATTGAATAGTGCTATAGCAGCGTTTGCCATTTGTCTTGATGAAGAACTCGTTCCTTTGATGAAACAATTATGAGTTTGATATTTCGAATTTATTAGATCGCTTTGCTTTCGAGATGCGTCTACTGTAAATGGAAAAATTCGCTTTACAATATCGTATTAAAATAAATTTTTCTCAAAGATGGCTTGTAATATCATTTAGTATATGGCTTTTAAATTTGATCACGTTGCAGGTATATTTTATTTAATTTATTTAATAAAAATTACATAGAAAAAATACATAGATTAAAATATATTTAAAAAAATTATCGCAAATTATAAAAATGATGACTCGTCTGTTTCATTTAATTTCTTGGAGATATAGTGCACTTTATTTAAATGTCAAAAAGAATTCTTCAATTTTTTTATTTAACGCATTTTTATCATTTTCGTTTGTCAAGAGATATATTTCTATGATTCTCGAAAATTTTGCGTCAATCAAGCTCGATTGGAAACTGAGATTCTGACATTTGGACAGTCCGCCTGGAATTTTTCCGAGAGGAAAGGATCTTCGGGTTTCGTTTTGCGTATCGTACAAATCCCGAAGTCGATCCCGTGAAATCGCTGAAAAATTGCCGTGACGCGCATTTAATCCCAGCTTTTGGGCCGAGCCTTTCGTATATCGAGGGGGTGCAAAAAACACCGACGGCTCCCGAAATCTGGATGGGACATTATCGCATGGCATTCTCTCGCCCCAAACCGATGGAATCCACCGATATATTCAGATACGTGCGTGTACGTGTGTGTATATCTGTAACAGCTGCTATAAAATCTTTACTACACTGAGGACAAAATTATCTTGAAATAAAAAAATTTGAGTTAACTCAAGAAAGCCATTTATTCGATGGGTACTAATCACGTATTTACTTGTATTCAAAACGTCTGTTTGCTTAAGTTAAGTATTTATTTACATATGTTTAAAAAAATATATATGCTTAAAAAAATATAATTTTTAATTAAATATGCAGTTTTATTTTAATTTTACAAAATATTTATTAAAATGCATTTTTTATTCCCAAAAATTTAAAATTTTTTAATTTTAATTTTTTAATTTTAAAAAATAATATATTTAATTTAATAAATTATAGTATATATTTTACAAAAATAATATTTAAATATAAAAAAATATATAAATGAAAATAATGTACTTAATATAACATGCATATTTAATTAAAATTAAATACTTTTGCTTAAATGAAGTAAACAATTCCTTGCATTTAAAGCAAAAGTTTCAAGAAATCAAATTTATTTGATTTAAAAAAATTTTTCCCTCAGTGTAGCAATATATTCCGTATTTTGAAAGATCCTGCGATAGAGAAAAGAGGGGAGGGGAATGGGGCGCTGGCTCACTGATCTGTGAAAAAATACGAGATAAAAGTCGACATATCGATAAAAGTTGAAATAATCCGAACCGCTTCGAATCTTCGATTACCAAACGTCTCGCTAATAGAACCGTTTCTGACGATACGATTACACGTTTAAATTCTCTTGTTATTTAATTTTTCAAAAATTAAGAGCAATCCTGTTCTTTCTAATTAAAAAAGAATAATTTATTAACATTTTTTTTACAATTGAAAAATAAAATAAATCGTGAAAAATCTTATCAGGGTAAAACACGCTCGCAATTTGTACTCTCCCTGTGCGGATCATCCTTTTTTTCTCTTCGACCTGTAGATCCACGTATGAAACGAACTCTCCCATTGGGGAAATATTGCATTTGTATCGCGATGGCCTACCTCGAATCGCATCACGAGAGACTATGTATTTGCGTATTGCGTATGTTCGGCAAGCGTGAGGGTGCATTCGTCCTTGAAACTCAATTTCGCAGCTACTATAATTGAATCTCGAGCTCTGGCGTCGGATATAGGCGGAAACTCATAAGGCCAATATCGAAGGCCGAGCTTTACTTTCTTCGACTAATTGAATCTTACATACACAGTAAAAAATTTTGTGTTAAATTTAACATATTTCACATATCCCAATTTATCCACTCTAATTTTAATGTTAATTTAGAAGGCAAGTATGTAAATAAATAACGCAAGTAATATGTTTAAAAATTAACACAAAAGTGTAACACTTAAACTTTCTGGAAATAAAGTTTATGTTAAATTAACATATTTATAATGTTAAATTTAATTAAAAGAAAATGTTATTCTTACATTTTTATGATAAATAACAGAAGGGATACAGGGATCAACAGGGATATAATAACAGAAGGGATTTAACATATGGAAACTGTTATAGAGAGAAAAATAACACAACTTATCTGTTATTGAAACATATGTATAACATATTTCATCAAAAATTCGTGCATTTACATACTAATTGGGTTGTTTCAACTCTTAGAAACAGAATATTAACTCTATTGAATATTAACTCAATGCAGAAATGTCAAAACGCAATGATAATATGTTACATTAACATAAGAGTATGTTAAAAATTTAACACAAAAATTTTTACAGAAATTTTTACACGAGAAAATTTTAACAGAAATACAAAATGTTTTTTATGGGGTAGGGTGCCGCGCGACGGACATTAAGACACATTTTCAGGAGAAAATATTACGCTATTAATTAATTACATCGATCAAGAAGCATAAGATATACTCACGGTAAAAAACAATTTGTATTTCTGTTAAAATTTTCTCGTGTAAAAACTTTTGTGTTAAATTTTTAACATACTCTTATGTTAATGTAACATATTATCGTTGTGTTATTTTGACATTTCTGCGTTGAATTAGTATTCACCGTTTCCAAGAGTTAAAACAACACAATTAATATGTAAATGCACGAATTTTTGATGAAATATGTTATATGTTAAAATGAACAGATAAGTTGTGTTATTTTTCTCTCTATAACAGTTTCCATATGTTAAATCGACATCTCTCTTCTGTTATTTATCATAGAAATGTAAGCATAACATTTTCTTTTAATTAAATTTAACATTACAAATATGTTAATTTAACATAAACTTTATTTCCAGATAAAGTTTAAGTGTTACACGTTTGTGTTAATTTTTAAACATATTACTTGTATTATTTATTTACATACTTGCTTTCTGTTAAATTAACAATAAAATTAGAGTGGATAAATTGGGACATGTGAAATATATTAAATTTAACACAAAATTTTTTACTGTGCTCGTATTTTTGTGAAAAAAATCTCGTAAAATATACACATACTTTGTACGCTAAAAATCTCGGGGAGAAAGCTGGAGTTTCTTAAAGGTACTGAAAAAAATCGTTGGTAAATTGAATGAAGAACCTAGGGACGCGGAAATTGATTACCTTGGAACAGATGCACGAGAGATGTATTACTAATGCAACAGCGTCTTGGGAATGGCCGGTGGCGATCAGCAATTCCCTCGTTTTAAGAGAACGATCTACAAATCGTTTGCACCTGAGCAGTATTTCTTGAAATCCAATCAATGTCTCACTTCCTAACAATTATTCCAGAAAGTATAGCTCCGATAAAACGCGATCGCGTGACAATTGTCGACGGAACTTCCAGACAGATCCGATTAATTATTTGCCTCGACTCGGTAAATATTTAGTCTTGCACCCTCCATGAAAATTCGATCCTCTTGGATTATTCGGGATTGCATGCATTGTAAATGTCTCTCTTTAACTATCACTCAAATTCTAATCGAATGCATTAAAATAAAACATACTCATTGCGAGGATAAAGGCAAATTGCAATCGATTTATTCGTTACCTAAATCATCAAGTATAAAGACTTGATAAAGAGTTTGACATTTGAGGTACTTAATGTCTATTATTTTATCCGCTGTTTCCCAGGTGGACAATAATTCTGCAGAGAAAAGGAAACATCCGGAAACGCAGGAAAATAAATATCACAAAGATTAGAAGGAATCAATACTATTATTACATAACCATCTCTCTCCAGATCAATGTATCTATTAAATTAAATTCTTCGAACCTCTTTTTGTTGGCTTCAAAGAAGTACAATATTGTTGACATTTTTAATGAAAGGTATTTAATGATAATAAGTGTTTCTCTCTCCGACAGTGATTTCTTCCTTCGATACAACATAATCCACTCGATAAAGTGATATTTATATGTGATATTATTTTTTTCAGGGAGAAAATGTGGAGCTCGGTTACCGCAGCCGGCACCGAAAATGGACCGGCACCACCTTCGAGGAGCAAACATAGCGCTACCTTACTTGCAGGTCACGTGTATCTTCTCGGAGGTAGAAATGGAAATCTGCCGCTCAAAGATCTCTGGCGATACAGCCTTGGTGAGAATCTTTACAATTTCTTATATATACCAAGGTTGGCAAAAAACTTGTTTTTTTTTTATTTTAAACAAAAAACATTGTTCTTTTTGTTTAGAACAATGTTTTTTGTTTTATTTGTGTTTTTAAGTAAAGTAAAAAAAACATGTTTTAAACAAGCAAAAAACACTTAATAGCTATGATCTGTGTAAATATTTAAATTTTTCGCTAGCGTTAAACTATAAATAACGTTGCCAAAATTGACAACGCTATTAAAAATATAAATAATAAAATAAAAATGATAAGATGGGTATCATTTTAGCAGAATATTTATTTTTGGATATTAAATAACAATCAATACAATAAAGATTACATAGAAGATATTAACTGATTTTACATTTTACATTTTAGCATTTTAAATTAATAGTACATAAGCAGGTCAGTAGTTCTAAAAAAAAGTTCTAGTTAATAATATTTAATATATAATACTTTGGTTCCTTTCCTATTCTTATTAAGTAACTTCATGCTTAACTCACATAAATTTTAAATAAAAGAAAAATAATTTTAAATAAAAGAAAAAATCTTAATTCTTCTTTTTAAAAGAAGAACTTTTTTTTAGAACTACTGACCTGCTATGAGTTATGTACTATTAATTTAAAATGCTAAAATGTAAAATGTAAAGTCAGTCAATATTTTCTAAGTAATCTTTATTGTATTGATTGTTATTTAATATCCAAAAATAAATATTCTGCTAAAATAATACCCATCGTATCATTTTTATTTTATTATTTATATTTTTATATCTATATGTTACATATATAGATAAAAAACACTAAAACAAAAACTTGTTTTTGAACAATGTTTTTCGTTTTATTTGTGTTTTTAAGTAAAGTAAAAAAATCATATTTTAAATAAAAAAAGCATGTTTTAAACAAAAAATACTTAATAGCTTTGATCTGTGTAAATATTTAAATTTTTCGCTAGCGTTAAACTGTAAATAACGTTGCCAAAATTGACAACGCTATTAAAAATATAAATAATAAAATAAAAATGATAAGATGGGTATTATTTTAGCAGAATATTTATTTTTGGATATTAAATAACAATGAATACAATAAAGATTACTTAGAAGATATTGACTGACTTTACATTTTATACTTATCATTTGAAATTAATAGTATATAATTCATAGCAGGTCAGTAGTTCTAAAAAAAAGTTCTAGTTAATAATATTTAATATATAATACTTTGGTTCCTTCCCTATTCTTATTAAGTAGTTTTATGCTTAACTTTCAACATAAATTCTAAATAAAAGAAAAATAATTCTAAATAAAAGAAAAAAACCTTAATTCTTCTTTTTAAAAGAAGAACTTTTTTTAGAACTACCTGCTATGAGTTATGTACTATTAATTTAAAATGCTAAAATGTAAAATGTAAAGTCAGTCAATATTTTCTAAGTAATCTTTATTGTATTGATTGTTATTTAATATCCAAAAATAAATATTCTGCTAAAATACCCATCTTATCATTTTTATTTTATTATTTATATTTTTATATCTATATTTGTTACATAAATATAAATAAAAAACTAAAAACGCTAAAATAAAAACCTTTTGCAACATACACATCTATTAGTTTTTGTTTGTTGTTAATTTTTTTTACAATTTCTTTTCCAAATAATCAAATATTTTATTTGTGATATTTTAAATGGTTCTAAACAATAGTTTAAAACAGTTTAAGACAAAAATGTTTAAAACAGTGGACACTGTTTTAAACATTTTTTAATCAAACAGTTTTAAACACATTGTTTAAAACATGCCAACTCTGATATATATATATATATATATATATACACAGGGTGTCCCAGACCACCCGTACACCCAACAAAAATGTTTAAAACAGTGGACACTGTTTTAAACATTTTTTAATCAAACAGTTTTAAACACATTGTTTAAAACATGCCAACTCTGATATATATATATATATATATATATATATATATATATATATACACAGGGTGTCCCAGACCACCCGTACACCCGTACACCCTTTTTAAAATACAATAAATAAAAATAAATGGCTTTTATAAAAAATTGCGAACAATTTTTAAGTAAATCGGGTACGTTCCAGCAAATGGTGATATTTGTAACTTTTGATTTCGACCGGAAATACGCCATCCGGATCGGAAGTCGAATTTTTTTAGGGGAACATGGTACTTTTTATTACACATTCGAGTTGTACGTGAAAAAATAAGAAACTTTTGTATCAAACGTTTTTTCTGAAAGTGGGTCTGTCAATTTTAAAATTGACCTTGACAGTAACTGTGATAAAATAATGAACTTCAATTTTAATATTGACAGAGGCACTTTTAGAAAAATCGTTTGACACAAAAGTTTCTTATTTTTTCACGTACAATTCGAATCTGTAATAAAAAAATACCATGTTCCCCTAAAAAATTCAACTTTCGATTCGTATTTATTTTCGGTCGGAATCAAAATTTGAAAATATTATCATTTGATAGAGCGTACCCGATTTACTCAAAAATTGTTCGTGATTTTTGAAAAAGCCATTTATTTTCATTTTAAAAGAGGTGTATGAGTGATCTGGGATACCCTATATATTGACATCGTATATTATTGTTTATGATCCCAGCAAACAACAAGTAACAGTTATATAACTGTTAGTTATAGTTTTGTATTCGACAATATAACTGTTACATAACTGTTATATAATTGTTAAATAACAATTATATTGTTCAGTAGGAAATTATAACTAATAATTATATAACTGTTACTTGGTGTTTGCTGGGATTTATTATTCATCACTGGATCTTTCGTTATGTTATTTTGAAGATGTAGAAAATTCAGAGGAAATTGATTGTAGATATAAATATATAAATATATAAATATATAAATATATAAATATATAAATATATAAATATATATAAAGAGAGGGAGAGAGTAATATGACGATATTTGGCAGTTTGAAGCACGCGATACAATACGAACATCATTTCTCTGACCAGCGGCACCCCATCGCATCCGCCGACGCACCCCATGGAACGAGGGTGCGCGACGGAATTTGAACGGGGTTCAGTCTGATCAATAATGCACCATTATTAAAGCCCACGTACATCAAGTAAATCCGGACAGACGATACTCCACAATTACGTGGTGTTTCCACGGAGATCAGACATACGCGAATTAATTGCGTCGCCCAGCCATAATCGGTGGTTTATCTACGTGACATGGGGGAAGCTTCCTCTTTTTTCCTTCTTCTAGCTTTTAACCATTCTCTAATACGAGGAGATGTCAATGTCTTATGTCGTTCTCAAACAATTATTCGAATCAGGACTTTTTTGTTGCGTATCATGCATAAAAATGTATTTTTTTTTATTAAAGAATAAACGCGGGAAAGAAAATTCTTTTAGTACACCATAAAAAGATACATTTACAATAAACCTATAAATAACCTGTAAAAATACATTTTAAAGAAGGTAATTAATAATGAAATTAAAAAGAAAAAAATTTAAATAAAAGAATATTTTTGTAAATAGAATTAAACTATAAAATTTAAATATTTGAATTAATGTCCAAAATATCTTGATTAGACAAGATCAAATCAATCACTTAATTCAATAATTATTAAATCACTTAATTAATAAAGAATTAATAATTGCTTTATTTATAGCAACTTTATTAGTGCTGAAAGATTACAAATGTTAATTATGTTAACGAAACAATCGGGAGAAAGACAGTGATTTATAAAATGCAGTCAATGTCAGCGGGATTTTTAATCAGAGGATTATTGTTCGGCTGTGCGTGGGTGAATGTTAAAATAGCTTCAAAAAAAGGGTTGATGCTTCATTTCTCGGGTCAAACAATGTGTTTTCAGCTGTCTACCCCTTAAAGGTCTGTATCGCTCCACTCGATTTTGCAAAAATATTGCGATAACCCGAAGAGAATTGTGAGTGGAACTTAGTTTTTGTTGCATTTTCTTTTATCATTAAAATAGAGGAATAATACTGGAAGAGGCAATTCCTGAAGGAATATATATCAGGGAATATATATCAGGAGAGATGTGAGAAAATTTAATTGATGGAAAAAAAGAAATGTTGGAAAAAGAGAAAGAAGAAATATAAAAATTAATTTAATGATCGCGTATATATTTTTATTTTTGTAAGAAGAAAATTTCAATTTTTCTTTATTTAATATTCTTTTACGAGGAAAATGTCTTCAATATTCTCGCTCAATGTTCTGAAAATATTTATCGAGAGACAGTGCTCTAATAGCTAAATTGTTTGTACAAAAAGCACGTAGACCCTCTTGTCCCAAAATGCCGGAGCTTTCTTGCATCAAAAAACATGCTGCAATTTCTGCAGCGCATGCTTCTAGACAAAAGGAGATATTGTTTCGCCGAAGCTAGATACGACACGTGTATCATGTAATCAATGTCGAGCATCTGTAGTATCGTTCTAGCGGCACTAAAGGTACTTTGGTCGACACATTACGGTTCTTACGAGACTTTGTTCTCGAGCACGTTTCGGTAAAAAATTAAAACAATCGCGGATATCCACTTACATAATAAATATTAATGCAAATGTCACTTACAAATAATAGATATTTTTTCGTTCTTTTATTTATTTTGTATTTATTATATTATATTTATTATTTTATATTAATATATTTTATATTAATATAATTAATATATTTTATATTAATATAAAATTATAATAATAATTAATATATTTTATATTAATATAAAATAATTAATATAATTATTTATATTAATATTTTATAAAATAATTAATATAAAATTTAAAATTTTTTTTCATTAATATAAAATAATTAATATAATTATTTATATTAATATTAATTATTTTATTATTTATTTATTATTATATTTGGACGTTATTATTCTCTCTCAAGAAATGGATGAAGAATAAAGATGCAAAATGGAAGGGAAAGAACGAAGATTAAGGGATGAAAAAAAGGCGTAACGTGAAAAATTTTAAGGATGATTGCAAAAATAAGAGAATATAAAAATAATTCTTTTAAAAAAATAAGATATTTAGAATCTAAAAAAAGATTATCTTTAATAAAAAATTCTCCCTTTTTTTCTCTTTTTCTTTTTATTGTCTCGAATAAGGTTCAAGAGGAGGCTTGAAATGAGTTTAATATATGAACAGAGGGAGGAATAATTGACGAGAGCAATATTTTTAGTTTCACTCCGATATTCAGTACATATGGAAAGGAAATATATTTCTCTCGTTCAATATAAAAAAACGCAAATTTAAGTGCTCTTTGGCCGAGCTTCTTCGCTTTTATATTTCCTGAGGGGAGCGCTGGCTTCCTTTTCACGATAGCTCAGATATCTGTTTTATTAACTAGGTCGGGTAAGATGGGCAGATTTTAAAATATTCTCTTCATAAAGCTTTATAATTGAATAGTTCTCTCCTTTGAATCCCCAATTCTCTACTTATTTTCGTCTTGTATACCTCTCTTTAACTCGTATGCGAAACGCAGTTATCAACTTCACAACAAGGAAATATAGCGTGCAAACTTCACTTCATAAAGTACGAGAATTACATGCTCTGTAAACGCGTGTCATGGCTCTTATTGAGCTGAAAAGCATTCTCGCACCCTGTGCAATCGAAAACTGGAAACACGGGTTACACAGGTCTGCAAAAAAGGAGGTCAAAATTTCTTTTTAAGATGCAATAGTGATTTTTGACGTAATTTTGTGTGCTGAATCCGAATCTGGCCGCCGAATTTGCGTAGCACGTCAGGTTTTTGAGTTATTTGTAGTTGAATAACTCAAAAATCGCTATTTTAGCCAATTTTATTGAATTTATTGTGAGTAAACCAAATTTTTTGAAATATTTCTGCCAATGACATTGTATAGTACTCACTTTTATCTTTCGAATCCACTTTCGATTACCGCCGCATGATTTTTTTTCGCTCAGATATACAAGTTATAAGACTGGTCATGCATAAGGATTTAATAAGCCATTCTAAATCAACCGTTCCATCTCTCTATCTCACTACGAATCAAAATTAGGGTAAAAATATATTTTTAAATACCTTCTGTCACCTTTTGAAATGGCGCATCCAATATGGCGAATCACAATAAAAGAATCACAATAGAATCACAATAAAAAGGCATAAAATTTAGGAAAATTTATCAAAATGTGTAACAACTGTATTAGACATTTCTTTACAATATTTTTTTGGCCAACCAAACCTGACATATGTCAATCTTTTCAAATTTCAAGATCATGGCTCTACCATATTGATGTCTATATAAATTTTCTTTAATGTAAATTTTCTTACAATGTCATACTTATATATCTCAGCGAAAAAAAATCGTGCAGCGGTAATCGAAAGTGGATTTGAAAGGCGAAAGTGAGTATTATATGATGCCATTGGGCAAAATATTTCAAAAAATTTGGTTTCCTCGCAATAAATTCATGAAATTGGCCAAAATAGCGATTTTTGAGCCATTCAATGACAAATTACTCAAAAATGTGACGTGCTACGCAAATTCGGCCAGATTCGAATTCAGCTCACAAAATTACGTCGGAAATCACTATTGCATCTTAAAAACAAAAACCTCGCAGGCCTGTGTTACACGTCGCTGCGACAGAAGCCGGCCATTAAAATGTAACGAGAGTGCAGTAGAAGAAAAACTCGCTCTCTTGCATTCTCGTCCATTCGCGCACTCTTCGTAATAGCTGCATGTAACCCGAAAATGTCGCCCGGAAGTGACTCACGTGTTTCTCTTTCAGCGGAGAGCAAGTGGGAGGAACTGTATCCAGGGGGTGAGAGACCGCCGGCTCTTCAGGAACACAGCGCGGTCGCTTACAAGGATTGCCTCTACGTTTTCGGGGGTGAACTGGGCTTCTCCGCCGGAACGGAAACCCCCCTCTGGGTTTACAACGTCAAGGTAACAATATAGAAATTTTTCTTGATAAAAATCGCTGATAAAAATTGACGCTTTTCGATAACGATCGTGATAACTGATATCGTATCGTTTTGACGAGGCTCTCAAAGATCCTCTTCGCGTCGAGGGGAGCGAGAAGAATCGCACCCTTGAGAAATGTCGCTTAATCGATAGCGTCAACGGCCGTGAGTTTTGCACGTCAGTATGTCACTTGCCTTCCTCGTCTCTCTTAAGTGACACGCAGAGGGAGGTGGTTTCGACAAGCGAGTGATAAGCTACCGGAAGGAAGCTTATCCGACCAATAGAGCGATTCTCACGCAGATCGAGCACGTGTAGAAATTCTCTCTCTCATCTACTGTTGTACAGTTATCCTATTGTTCTCCTCGCGGTGTCAAGCACTCCTCGGGGAGGATAATAAGCGCGACGCGAAACGAGCAATGACACGGGGTGGTTGGCCTCTTCCGGTTACGAGGGAGACGTCTCGTCTCGCGTGCGGAAAATCAATCCTACGAAATGGGTAAAGAAGCTCAGAATCGACGTAAACAAAGTGATCTTGTGCGGATATCGATCAAACTCGGTTTATGAAAATATGTTTAGTAATTTGCTATTCTTACAGAATGTCTACTCAAATCTTGTAAAAAAATTCCCTGATGTTCCAAATATTATTTATTATTTATTTATTTTTCCAATTCTTGTTTTTCGACTTTGGATGACTTCCGGTTACAATTATAGTTGAAAAACAATGAAAATGAATGAAAATAAATTAAGACAAAACACAATCGATCATTAAATTAAGAAATAAAGTAGAAACGAAATAGAAATTAAATTAAATTGAACTTTGAACTTTCGCTAATTCTGAAAAGCTATATAAGATCAATACATTAGCTTTTACATTCTAAATTTTTAAATTAAATTCAAATTTTATATCTCGCTATCTTTGATAGTTTTAGTATCTTATTTTGATTTCTTTTCCTTTTTGATTTTTTTAACTTTGTTTTTTTTGTCCTCTTCCGCCCCAGATTTTTCAAATATTTTTTAAAATTATTGAAAATTTCAGATAAAAAAATATTTTAAAGATCTTGATGAATTTCCTAAAATAAATTTTTTTATTGTGCATTTTAATATTTTTTATTCATAAAAAGGAAAATGCATAGCTTCTTAAATTTCAAATGTTAGATTTGTAAATGTTCTAAAACTAAAATAACTGAATAATTTTTGTAAGATAAATATTTTTTACTTATATAATACATTTTCATTTTTTATCACTAAAATTAAAAAAAAGGGTAAAGAAATAAAGAATACATACTGCATTTAATATTCCGTAGAACATTGAATATATAAGCAGAAGTAAACATATATATTTTTTTAATGCATTATTTACTTATCGACTGTTTAAAACGACTATTTTTAATACATTATTTACTTATCAACTGTTTAAAATATGAAAATAACATTATCAAAGAGAGAATTTCTTACAAAATTCTTGATTTTTCAATTCAAAAGAAATCCCTAAGAAATCCAGGCTTTCCATGAAAATCTAATTTTCCTGAAAATAAATTTCTTATATAAGAGCTATTTATAAGCTAATTTATAATATTTTATTAATTTCAACAAAGAATTTTGTTTTTAATAGAATCTATAATAACGTTACAAATAATTTGCGCTACTTGTATCGCGGGAAATATAATTTCAGAGAGGATAAAATGATGTTTTATCATTATATGATTTAATCAACGTGTTAATTGAAGTGGTTATATCATAATTTCAAAAATTGATATATATATATTTCCGCAAATTTAAGGGAACGGTAGAGGCATCGATGCGCGATATTGTCAATCAACTTTGACGTAGTCGTCCAATATTGCCCTTCGTCTCGTTTGCTAAATCGAGAGGGTGCAGGCCCTCCTTCTGATCACTAAAACGGCAATGGCGGCTGCCTGGAGGCTGCCCATCGCCTCATCTAATCAGATCGCATGGTCGTTCTTAACTAAATCTCGATAACGAATTCAATGCGAAATTTCTGCGGAATGCTATCTTCGCGAATAAACATTTAGATAATATTTTATAAGATACCTCAAACGATTATTTTTAATGCAAAATTTCGTCGTACATTTGTGGACAAATTTATAAGACATCGGCTACAATTACGACTATGTCGAACATTGAATTTTCTTGTCTGGGAATTGGAACTTCCGTTTCAACCTATTGCGTCCATTTGTCGAGAGAATGTCTATGTAACGCTCCATTCATGTCTCGAGAGAATGACAGCAATGCATTGACATCGATGATGAACGAGATATCTTCCCGGTGAAACACGCGATTCATAGCATTACTTCCAGTAGTTCCGGAGATATTTGCAATCGATCCATAGATATAGTCGCAGTATCAGATCTCAAATTAATCGACGTGGTTAATAATATCTTAGCAATCGTCAAGCAATTTTCAGCTAATGGATATGTAATGTGATAAGGAGCTTATATAATTTAAATTATTATCAATATATGAATTACAAATTTAATATAATTATGAACAGAAGAATAGTAAGGAGAAAATTTTTAAAATTTTGGAAATTCCAATTTTATTTTTTTTTCAAATAAGATGAAAAAAGAACCCAAAAGAAATTAAAAGTGAATTAATCAATATTAATTCTAAAAAAGGGACATAAGCATATTTTATATAAAACTTATTACTAATGTAATAAAATTCAAGAAAAAAATATACTTCAAAAAACATAGAAGAAAGTCCCACAGATAATGTTGTAAAATTTTATGATGATTTCTCTATTTTTCTTCTCGTGGTGTTAACATTTGCTGACACAGCCTCTAATTTCATACAATATGCAGAAACAGCTCACCTTTCGCGGGACCTTCAAGAGCAATTTAAGTCGAGGGTGGTTTTTGGCAACAGCTGGTGTTAACAGGCTTTCTCTCTGATTCGTACCCTTGAAACCAGCCAGAGTTTCAATCTCCCAAGAGTAACGTCACTCACGTGCGAGGCATTAAAAATTAATAAGCCCGTATAAGATACGAAACATCACGCGTCATCGATTCAACATCCATTCGTTATTTTTTTATACGAAGATAAAGGAGTGTGTTTTTTTATTTATGTCAAGAGGTCCCAAGCTCTCTTAAAAAGTTATTATTATTCTTTATATATAATTTAATATAAAATCAAATAAAAGTGTAATTCTAATCTATAATTTGCCATATATATGTTATAACTTTATAAACTCATTAAAATTTCATCAAATCAAATTCAACAAATTTCTTATTAAATTATATGGTTTTACATAAAATTGATTACACTGATTCTTTTTTTGTGAGCAATGACTAATTATCTCTTTTGCCGAATAAGATTCATTCATCATATTATTTTAACAATCTGTTACGTAACGATTTCTGTGGTCTGGGAAAATATAATACTGGATCAAGTAAATATTATTTATATATTTATTTTATATTTATTATTTATTATTTATTTTATTATTATTTATTATTTATTTATTATTTATTATTTATTTTATATTTATATATTTACATATTTATATATTTATTCCATATTTTCTGATATAACGCACATTTTTACATAAAATTTGACAGCTGCGAGTAATTGAAGAGAGGATTTCTAAATAAAATAAGGAAAATGTCTCAAACTATTTTTTCAGTATCAATCAATTTCGTCTCGTGTAAAGATTTTTTTGATTTTTTGATTGGATTACCATGGTTACTCTTTTGTTTTTAATCGTTGGGCCATGGAGGAGAAATACGAGTATGTATTCTTACTCCACTGTTCCTGTCTGTTCGCCGTATTATTGAAATCCGCGTTATTCGGATGCGTCAGGCAAACCTGATTGGTTAAGCTGGAGGGGTTGCTCGGCATGTTCGTTCTCTCCCTCTCCCTGTCTCCTTCACTTTCCCTCTGTACTTCATTAAAACACTCCCTCGTTTAAGCGGCAGATGGAACGTGGAAGAAAACGCGCGTATTCTACAGCATATCTACCACTCTTTGTTTTTTTTTTATATCTGAGATTCGCGAAGAAAGATTATCTTTGAGATATGCGAATGATAATGAAAGTTATGTTGTTTTCCGAGATAATAAATAATGAGAATTAAATTTGTTAGCTTTTTTTAGGATTCTTTTAGCGACTTTTTCGTCAAAAATCTGCAAGACATCTCATCTATTCGCATATGTGAAAGATCATATGCGTATATTCATGAGTTTGTGAGATATTCATGTCTATCCCGCGGGCGATAAATATATTTATAAATTTCTCGAAGCGAGATGGACGCCGCTCTCATTCCTTTGATGTAGCAATCAGAAGTCTCTTGGATCTCCAGTTGCGGAATAATATTTACATTGATTTTATATGTGTTTTTGGGACATGTGTGTGTATCAATGTACGATAAAATAGACATAGGCGTAAAATACCTCCCTAAAGTTGATAGATTAAAACGCGATCTGGTTAATGTCTCGTCTCTTAAATAAATCTGAGAAATTTTTATTGGAAATTCATGTACTTTTTATTCTTACAGAACTGTTTTAGATTAGAAATCCTGTCGAATGTATTTAGGAAGTCGCATGACCCACAGAAAATGTTCATTACTTTTGTATTCCAACCTCGATTTCGAAAAAAATGCGATTTATCTTCTAAAATGTCGGTTAATATATATGCACATAAGAATTTTCCGCTAGATTGAGCGATAAATCTTTTTCCGGGCGGGGAAAAGGGCTCGATGTATTGATTTCATCGATATGTGTAAATATAAAGGATATGCCAAGAGTAGTCTCTTCTGACACGCTTTTCATGGAAAATGTTTCAAGGTAACAGCGCGATAAAAATAAATCTGCTTATCTCATCTACCTAATATAATGATACATTTTTGTGAAAATTAAAACTTGACGTACAAATCTTTGAAAAAAAATCTTTCCACATATCGTATACACACATAAAATGCGATATAAAACTTCGTCTGAAACTTGATAAAATATTTCCGTCAGATATATGTAATTTTGTAAAAAGATTTGATGATGAATCGAATAATATCTCTTATTATTCCGTCTTCAAGCGCGATATATCATCATAATTTCATAATAGATTCACGTTATAGTTTTAGTACCAGTGATTTTGCATATTGCATGCATTCCTTCATCCAGCTGCTTTCCGTGACTGGATGAAAGCTTGAATTATGAATGCGTTTCAGTTAAAATACTCAATATGGGGGCGTTTTACGGTTCTGATATACAGCAGTTGCCGCGATATCTTTTGCATCATTTCGAACTCGTTTCGACTTGTAGAAATAAATACCGTATGCAAAACGAATTATTAACGCGATTAAATATTTATTTTGTATTTAAATTTACAAAAAAGCGATAAAACGCCTTGTTTCGTTCGATTTTATTAGAGAACTTATGAATTGTGTATTAACTGTATACTATAAAAATGGTAAACTCAAATTAAACTCAGGAAACTTAAATTAATTATACACGTTTACACTAACGAGTAATTAAGCGAAATCCTACCATAACGCGTACACTTTGCATGAGATATTTTCCGGAATTCGCATTGCAAACTAGTAAGAGCGTAATTCCGCATCTCTATTCAGTGGCTGTGGCAGCGACGATTATTGCAGCCCCACGGGTTAAAGCCGAAGCTATTCAGACAGCAAAATTGGAGGGCCGCAAATTAGTGGCCTTTATTCCTTTTGTTACTGGCCGCCCTTAATTCATACAACATTCACGAATAACGAAAATGCAGAAACGTGTGAATCGTAATCTCACAAATTCGTCTATAATTATATATATAAAAAAGTAAGTTCTTCTAAATAAAAAAGGAATATAACGTGTAATGAAAAGCTGAACTCCATCTGTGATTTTTCTAGACGAATGTATGGAGAAAAGTGAGAGCTCAACGGGGTTGCGCGGTTCCTAGAGGCCGAAGAGGTCACACAGCCTTGGTACATCGCGGACAGATGCTCATATACGGCGGTTACCAAGATTTACGCGGCAGCTCCTCCGAATTGTGGGCCTTCCATTTCGGTAATTGTCACATGTATCTCGTAAACAGCTGGTATCTAGATAAAATTATCTAGATAATCATCTAGATAAAGAAATGGATCATCTTCATCTTTAACTAGATGAAGAGATACAAAGTATCTTTATCTTAGATGAAAAATATATGTCATCTTATTTAAAAATTGTCTAAGATGACGTTTTCATTATGCAAAAAAGTTTTCCAAAAATCTAAACCTTCTAAAAATCTATCTAAATAATTAAATATTTAAAATATATTTTTTATATTATTATTATTAATATATTATAAATATATTATTATTATATTATTAATATATTATAAATATATTATAAATATATTATAAATATATTATAAATATAAATTAATAAATAAATATTTATCATATCATTTATATACCTTTTTGCTATTATTTAAATATTCTTTAGGAAAAGAGAAAGAATATGTGTTTATGATTTTAATATCCCATTTATAATCACATTTTTTACAAATATTTATAGTCTTCTAAAATAAACAAAAATATCTAAATAATTATCTAGATTATCGCAATAATTATCTCATCTTTCATCTAGATTAAGTAAAAGCAAAATCGTCTTTATCTCATCTATAAGATAAATTTACGGATTTTTATCTTTATCTTTATCTAGATAATTTTGAAATTATCTAAAGCAAACACTGCTCATAAATAACGATAACTCGCTAATTTCTGCAGCAGCTCTGACTCATTCGATCCTATTACAGAGACGGAATCTTGGCATTTGCTCTCGTCGAGCGAGAGCGGGCCGGCAGCGAGGCACAAGCACTCGGCGGTTTTGCACGGTGACGCGATGTATATTTATGGCGGAATGACGGATCTCCAAGAGAGGAACGATTGCTGGCGATGGGACGTCAACAGCGCCTCGTGGTCCATGCTGAAGAACAAACCAGGCCCTGGACCTCTTCATGGCCACGCGGCTTGCAGACTGCCAAGTTGCATGCTGATCTTTGGGGGTGAAAGTGGCGGTTTGGCGACGAACGAGCTTTGGAGATTCCATTTTGGTACATTTATCGCTTTATATATCATTATAAAAATCTTGTGATAAATGGAGGGAAGAAGTAAATTTATTACTCTGTTTTTGCTCTATTAATTGAAAGCTTAGAATGAGAATATATCTACAGATATTTTGAAACTGCATTTATTATAGATTATATATTATATTTTTCTTAATATTATTTCAGTTTCCAGTCTGCTTTTAAAGAAGGCAAGGTCCTATAATATAAAGAAAACAAAAATTATATAATAAAATAAATTAAAATAAAAATTATATAATAAAAATGTAATAACAAAAATAATGAAACGAATTTAAAAATTTAAACATATTTAATTTATACCAATTTAAACATAAAAACGAGCAAAGCATTATACATTAATTTATAAATTAATTATCAAATAAAATATAAATTAATAAATTAATAATCAAATAAAATATAAATTAATAGTCAAATTAATTATCAAATAAAATATAAATTAATAGTCAAATTAATAACAAATAAAATATAAATTAATAATCAAATTAATTATGAAATAAAATATAAATTAATAATCGAATTAATTATGAAATAAAATATAAATTAGTACTTTTAACAAAATATAAATTAATAAATTAATTATCAAATAAAAAATTAATTAATAAAAAATTTACATCAATTTTAACATATTGTAAAATTTATTTGCAGAAAAAAAAGTATGCCGATTTGAAAAACCAGTATCGGTTTTAACAACTTTTTTTATATAGATTTTCGCGATTTTTACAAATGAAATATTTCGATACAGGCACAGAAACCTGGGAAAAGTTGTCAGTGCCAGGACCGAAACCGCAGCCGAGGGCGGAAAGCGTCGCCCTCGCGGTGTCCGAACTATTGATTCGCGGAACAAGCATGGACAATTCAAAACCGAGGCCGAGGAATCAAAGACCCAGGCTATCGAGCAACAGAATGTCGCCGAACGAGATCCCCTCCGCTCGCCAGAGCTTTCTCAAGGAAATTTCCAAATTATCGCAAATAAATCTATCGCGACTCAGTCATCCGACGAAATGTAGTTACACGGTTCTCAGTGGACACGATGATAACGAGGAGAGCCCTCAAGAGGTAAATAAAGCACCCAAATATCCCGATAACGATAAGCAATCTTGTGTCAATTAGGCCTGCGCGCAGGCAAACACGTACTATCCTTTTCAGCAAGTGGACATCGAAGTCGTGGAGCCTTCCACGGGGATGGTAAAGTCACGCAGTGCCAATACTCTGGCTCGTCGAAGGCAAAAAGTATCGGAGGGAACGACAAGAACGGTTGACGTCAGCAATGTCAATAATACTAGCGGTTCTGGTATGACCAGAGATCCTATTTCGGTGCCAAATTTTCGTGCTTTGACGTTACCAACGCCGGTTCTCACTCCTGTAGAGGCCGCCAGATTAGTCTTCGTAGATCCGGATGAGAACAGCGACAACGAGGAGCGCAAGGAACCGCCTACCTCGAGACTCATCGAGGTTCAAGAAGAGAGGCGGTAATCATCTATACAAATAATTATGATAAACAATCCAGCAAACACCAAGTATCATGTATATAACTGTTAGTTGTAATTTTCTACTCAACAATATAACTGTTATGTAACAGTTGCATAACATGTAACAATTATATTGTTGAGTAGGAAATTACAACTAACAGTTGTATAAATGTTACTTGGTGTTTGCTGCACTGAGAAAAAAATCTGGTTGCATTAATTAGAGTTCTGGTAGATTCAACCAGTATGTCTGTTGGAAAATGGACGAACCAAAATTTTTGTAAGAATTACTAAATGAATCTGATTAATTTCTTCCTGTTAAATTTACCAAATTTTCTGGTTAATAATACTAAATTCGCCAGCACCAAGTCGTCTAAAATTTTTTTATCTAATCTCAAAAATCTGTTTAATATTCTAACTTTTAACAAGATTATTGGATAAATTCAATTCAGATTATTGAATAAATTATTTTAAATTCAGTTTGTTAGAAATTAAACTGATAAACAGTGCACTGAGAAAAAAACCTGGTGGCATTAATTAGAATTCTGGGAGATTCATCCAGTATGTCTGTTGGAAAATGGACGAACCAAAATTCTTGTAAGAATTATTAAATGAATCTGATTAATTTCTTCCTGTTAAATTTACCAAATTTTCTGGTTAATAATACTTAACTCGCCAGCATCAAGTTGTCTAAAATTTTTTCCATCTAATCTCAAAAATCTGTTTAATATTCTGAATTCCAACAAGATTATTGGATAAATTCAATCCAGATTATTGAATAAATTATTTTAAATTCAATTTGTTAGAAATTAAACTGATAAACAGTGCACTGAGAAAAAAACCTGGTTGTATTAGAATTCTGATAGATTCAACCAGTATGTTTGTTGGAAAATGGACGAACCAGAATTCTTGTAGGAATTATCAGATGAATCTGATTAATTTCTTCCTGTTAAATTTACGAAATTTTGTGGTTAATAATACTAAACTCGCCAGAACCAAATCGTCTAAAATTTTTTCCATCTAATCTCAAAAGTCTATTTAATATTCTGAATTTCAACAAGATTATTGGATAAATTCAATCCAGATTATTGAATAAATTATTTTAAATTCAGTTTGTTAGAAATTAAACTGATAAACAATGCACTGAGAAAAAGACCTGGTTGCATTAATTAGAATTCTGGTAGATTCAACCAGTATGTCTGCTAAAAAATGGATGAACCAGAATTCTTGTAGGAATTACCAGATGAATCTGATTAATTTCTTCCTGTTAAATTTACCAAATTTTCTGGTTAATAATACTAAACTCGCCAGAACCAAGTCGTCTAAAATTTTTTCCATCTAATCTCAAAAGTCTATTTAATATTTTGAATTTCAACAAGATTATTAGATAAATTCAATCCAGATTATTGAATAAATTATTTTAAATTCAGTTTGTTAGAAATTAAATTGATAAACAGTGATGCAAGAAGAGGATGCAGCTCAAACACACACAATCAGAGAGCTAGCGTCCTCTTTCTGGCACTACTGCTCGTAAGAAAAAAAAATATACTTTGAATTTGTTTTGGACTTTTGAATGTTAATATTAATTCTTTATATACATTTCATGACAAATATTGAATACGAGTTAAGTTAAGAATGGCTCATCGCCTAATGGCAAGCAAAGAAATTAATGTAACAAGAAATTTTATAGATCCAACCAGAAAATACTAACTAAATCCTTATAATAAAATCTAATAAACGTTCTAGTTATAAAAAATCGAGTCTTATCGTGATAATTAGAAATCCTTATTTAATTTAACCAAAATGCCTTCAATCATATACGTCTTCAATCAAACGATTTTTCTCAGTGTGGGGATTATTTAATTTATTAAATATCACATTTAATTATTATATACATGTTTGTTGTTATACATTTTACATTATACATTTATTGCAGAGACTTCGCGGCCGTGCACCAAGCTTGCCAGCCCACCCGCGGCGACAGCTACAGTTCGCACCTTTACGAAGCCGCTCTGCAAACGCCGAAGACTCCGACGACGACGAAGATCCCGACGTCGGCGTCCGTCAGATTCGCCGATCTCGAGGAGGGCGAGGAATCGACGTCGGATTACGCGAGTATCGAGGCGAGGAGCCCGGGAGATCCGCTCGCGGACGACGACTGGCTGTCAGGAAAGAGATCCAAGCCGCACAGGCCGATCGTCGCCTCGTCGACGATACGAGAGGGTCAGTTCGGTTTCTGTAACCCGAATTACCTCGGCCTGGACGAGACGAGGAATCATTATCATCATCATCACCATCATCACCACCAGCAGCAACAGCAGCAGCAGCAGCAGCAGCAGCAACAACAAGATGGAAAATACGCCAAGTTGCTCAACAGTCCCCCCGACAGCGTATTGGAAGACGAGCCTGGCAGGTCGGCTTCGCAGACCTTCGCGGAACTCTTGGAGCTTCAGGAGATCAGAAGGGTGCCGCGGGCGCCACCGAAGAGCCTGCCGTTAAGTTCGCCATCGAGAAGAGCGGTGAGTGCGTCGAGGGCCGAGAGGCAAAGAGCGAAGGTGGCGGCGGTGGACGCGACTGACGCGAAGACCCCTTCCTACGGGCCGGCGCCCTTGTACGTTTTTTTAGTCGGCGGCAAAGAAAAGGGTCAAGTCACGGTGTTCGCCAGACCGGTCTCCCTCTGGAAGCTACAGTTGGCGCCGCATATCTTCTAAGGATGATTGATAGTCCTCTTTAGTTGAGTCATTCGCGCAGCGTTAATGATAAGAAGAAGCCGGATGCGAGGGGAGAGATCTAGGTGATGATTAAGGCAAGCGTTACGGGCAGTCCAATTTTCGTTGACGTAGCGTTTCATGGAGGAATTTTTTCTTTTTTTTTTTTTCGATCGTGTAAAATCGGGTCGCTCGACGAGATCGATTTTTCGAATGTTTATTCTCTCATTAATTTGATTATTAAGGTTAATTTTATACGTGCGTTTTTTGTTACGAAGCAAATACGTTTTTTGTATATAATTGGTTGAGATTGTTGACTCTTTTTTTCGTTCGTTAAAGTTTACTTGCTATTTATATTCACATCCTTGCGAAAATAGGGAAGTTTGACGTAAAAGATGAATAGTGTTTCTGGAAAATACCGTATATGTGTTAAAGCGCAATTAAAAATACATATAAAAATAAGCTTTATCGTGCAGAAAGTAAAGAAACCTATCGTAAAAGGATTTGTAATCCATGGGGGTTGAGAATTAGAGAAATGTTCATTTTTTTATTTAATAATGCGTCGAAATAGATAGACTAATATTAGATAGATAATTATAAAATATACGTATCTCTCTCTATAATCTAGAAATTAAATTTACAGAAAATTATTTCACTGCAATATTCCTATTTAATATCTATTACACATCTCTTAATTTTTAATGTCATCATTTAATGGTTCATCGATGACTCATAATTGTAGAGAACGCAGACTCTTATTTTTTCGATGTAAAGGATTAACATTTTCCTACATTTACTAATTTCAAAATGTAAATGTGTACGTCGAATCAATATATTCTTACTGTTTACGAGGAACGTGCATATTTAAGATAGTCGTAAAAACACAATACTTGTGAATCGTGAGTTCATATTGAACTGGCCGATTCGAGTATTCTCAATGTGAGTTTTGTAAAAAGATAGATGTTCAAATAGAAGCGCAGATCAAGTTGGCGACCGATTGTATCTGTCATCCTTCAATCGTGACTGATAAAAATGCAATTTATTGATATCGTGCGTCACAATTCTATATTTATTAATTTATTCGTGAGATGACGAGATATGAAACTTTCCGATCATTAAGACTTCAAATTATTCGCTAATCAACACAAGACAAAATCGACCGACCTGATCTGCGCTCGACTGCCATCGAATGCAAAAAACTCAATGTGCGATAAGGATAAGATATGAAGTAGAATTAGTGTGAGATTCGTAAGCTTATAAAAATAGGATCGAAGATATCGATCGAGGTTTATGATCGACTCGTGATTGTTGCGCTTTAGAGATTATTATCTGACCGATTCTTCTATTCTCTGCAGTAAATAGATTTTTATAAAAAAATTCTAACTCTTTTTCCAATTTGAGATCCAAATTAGTCAACTGTAACTCTTTAGGAAATCGAATTTACTCTGCTAAGAACTGAAGAAACGCTTGCAAGATAGATTTTTGATCTCGAAACTAAAAGGTACATATACAGGATGTCCCAGACGATCCGTACACCTCTTTTAAAATGAAAATAAATGGTTTTTATCAATTTTTAAGTAAATTGCGGGTACGCTCTATCAAATGATGATATTTTTAGCTTTTGATTCCGACCGGAAATACGCCATCGGGATCGTAAGTTGAATTTTTTTAGGGGAAAATGGTACTTTTTATTACAGATTCGAATTGTACGTGAAAAAATAAGAAACTTTTGTATTAAACGTTTTTTCTAAAAGTGCCTTTGTCAATCTTAAAATTGATCTTGAAGGTAACTGTGATGAACTTTCAAGATCAATTTTAAGATTGACAGAGGCACTTTTAGAAAAAATGTTTGATACAAAAGTTTCTTATCTTTTCACGTACAATTCGAATCTGTAATAAAAAGTATCATGTTTTCCTAAAATAATTCAACTTCCGATCCGGATGGCGTATTTCCGGTTGGAATCAAAAGTTGAAAATATTACCATTTGATAGAGCGTACCGATTTACTTGAAAATTGTTCGCGATTTTTGATAAAAGCCATTTATTTTCATTTTAAAAGGATGTACGGGTGGTCTGAGACGCCCTGTATATTTTGAAGATTAACAGATAATTTTCATCTGTCAAATTTGAAAAAAATGTCAACAATTCTTTCAAGGCTGTTTTAGATAATTCATGATTTCGCGATAAATATCAAGATAAAGTTCTATTTACAATGTTATATTTCGCATATCTTTTCTAATGTATGTGAATAGATATCCTGAAGATCTATGTATTTACATCCGTGTATTTTACTTGTTCGAATAGTTTACACGATATATAAAATTATAAGTAGAGTTCTTTTCTGAATTTTCGGAAATCATAAATTATCTAAATGAAGCATTATACAAAGTTATTATTCCAAATATTCATTTACCAGTATCTTCAATTTTTAACTACGAGATCTGGTAACCTATACAAATATGAAAAATAAAATTTTAACTTTCGAAATTATAAAAATAAATAAATATTCTAATTTATTTTATTTAGAAATAAATAAATATTCTAATTTATTTTATTTAAAAATAAATAAATATTCTAATTTATTTTATATGATGCATTACAGATGCATATGATGTGGCAAAGCACAAGTGATTTTCTCCTAAGATGATATAATATTTTATTAGAAAGATTGGAAAGAGTAACGACTGATAAAACAGAGAACGATTGTGTTCCAAAAGAGATTATAGTCAGTGTGTTAACGTGAGCGATTTCGCACGAAATCGCGAATCGATGAAATCGAAAGTCTTTACCGTGATTGTATCTATGACCGTAGTAAGTTAGTTTCAGTAAGCGTAATGTATAATATAAGTAGAGCAGATATGATGGCAAAGTACGATGGGGGCTCTCTTGTTCGTGTAGAGTTTTTATGTCCGTAAAGGCCCAACACACATGTAATCCATCCATAAGTAGCTAAGGTCGACGTGGCTTCTCAATGGGCTAGATATTGAGAGATGCTTTTACCATTGATCTTCTTGGTGATAAATTAATAATCTTTATCTACGACATTTTTTTTCCTACGGTATCCACTTTAATTATCTCATATTGTTTATCACAAAGCAATACGACGGGCAAGTGCAATATTAGGATTATTTATGAAATTGAATGCGCCTTAAATAAGGATCTATTACAAATACATCCCTCGACTGCTCATCGCAAAGCGATAGCTGTATCTTTAAAATATACCCAATATCGAAAGTTTGGTGCGAAGAATGGGTTTTGCTCAAGGAAAAATTCGACGTATCGTTTTTCTTTAAAAAAGAGTCTCCCGATATCTAGTCTCGGGCCTCGAATACCCGAAAAAAAAAAAAATCAATGTTTTCCATTCGTAGAGCTAGTCAATTACATACATCTCAGTGTACAAAACTTAAGCTAAATGTTTCGTACTTACTTCTTCACTTTATTGCATTTCCTCTCTACAAACACATTTTACTTATGACTTCGACGTCGACGTCTTATTTTCTTACGATTTAGCGAGCCGGTCACATTCAGTCGCAAAGAAGCTGCGAATTTATTCTACGCATCCACTTCCACGATCCATCCGGACACGTAACAACGATTTCTACGGGTTCTTTCCCGCGATCATCCGGTGATTTTGTTCGAGAGACAAAAAAACAACAGACTTTTACTGCATCGTGTAAAGAAAATTATTCGAGGAGTGGAAACAGATGAAGTTAGCGTACTCTTTCTATAAGCTTAAACACGTCCACACGTTGGCATTTATGCCGCTATACAAATTATCGATTGAGAGGCAAACCCTTCCTATCTAGTTCCATATCACAGAGCGCAATATTTTTTCAAAGACCAAACTTTCGAATAGAGAGAAAGAGAGATTGAGAGAGAGAGAGAGATTGAGAGAGAGAGATTGAGAGAGAGAGAGAGAGAGAGAGAGAGAGAAGAGAGAGAGAGAGAGAGAGAGAGAGAGAGAGAGAGAGAGAGAGAGAGAGAGAGAGAGAGAGAGAGAGAGAGAGAGAGAGAGAGAGAAAGAGAGAGAAAGAGACAAATGACTTTTATTCTTAATTATTTCTATGTTTAATATCAAGACAATATATATACGCGAATGTATTATGGTTGTACAAAGCATCGGAAATACAGGCAGATGCGTTCTTTTAAAAAATATTAAAAAAAAAATATATCAGATCAAAATTATTGCAGATGTTAGAAAAGGCTAGATGAATGCAGATAAATTTTTCTATAAAAAAATAAAAATTCTTAGAAACTCGGTATTTTATCGGAGAAATATGACGTTGATCTGTTGATATTTTCGATGCTTTGGCGCACGTATGTAATATACGTAAGACAATTCCTCGTAGCTAGTTGGCTACAACATTATACAGATTTGTTCCCCTATAAGATTGGACGAATGTTATACGTTTACATAATGTGCATGCGAGCATAATCATAGTTATGATATTGTGTTCATCCATTCTTTTCGATTTAAATGTCGATGCGAAGATTGCGTGGCGAGATTTCCAGCCTTTCGGTTCTTGTAATAATTAATCTAATTAATGTTTCGTTCAACCGCATTGTAATTAATGTAACAGTTATTAATGGAACAGTATTACTATGACTAGAAAATATACTATATATAATTCGGTAATGACGAAATCGTGTCATTTTATTATATGCACTATTTTATATCTTCATTTTTCGTATCTTAAATTAAAAATTACATTTATTATTTTATATTTAAAAATATATTTAATTAAAAATTACATTTATTATTTTATATTTAAAAATATATTTAATTAAAAATTACATTTATTATTTTATATTTAAAAATATATTTAAAAATTACATTTATTATTTTATACGAAACAGCTATATAATAGCTATATAATCTAATTTAGAAAAAAATCAAACAGAATTAATTGTGAACCTCCAAGTTACGTTTTTTATTTCGTACAAGATGTATCGCTATTACATGCTCCGATCTAGAAAATAATCAAACGGAATTAATTGTGAATTTTCAAATAACTGAAAAATAATGATGTATATGGGGATCATGAAAATGTTACCGACTTTTGATCAAGCTGATGCTACGTATTATCGTGAGATAGCAGCAGTAGCTTTACGATGTAAAAGGAAGGAAGGGCGAATCTAAAAGTGGGTGTACACTTTACCATCATCAACGTTCTAGTCGCGTTTACTCAAGGGGTGGTATGAGAAAATAGATCAAAATGAATAATAGGAAAAATAGGAGCGAAAGATAAGAAGACGAACACGAGACAAACATATCCGAAAATTCGTTTTTATTATTTTTATATTTGTTCGTTCGCTCAGCATGTATCCATCTTAAAAGGTGTCAATAAAGATTTCCGATTTTAGCTTGAAGAAAATTTCTGGGATGCTGAAAAGTATTATCAATTTTTTTAGTCTTTTTTTATAATTATTGTTTTGTATGTTAGAGAAATGTAGAGTAAGAATAAGTACATTAAAAAAAAAATGTATATATAATAATTTATATATATATATATATATATATTTTTTTTTTTTTTTAATTTTTTATCGTGTGTGAATGTTGTATTTTTTAAAACTGTGATAAAAGATAT